TATTGTTTGACTTTCAGTTGAAGATTATGTCTACTTTTAATTAATTCTACTGTAAGCGCAATACTTGACACTAGCTACAGTATGAATTATTTTATATAATATATTTGTAGATTTTTTAAAAAGTGCAATATTATACAACAACAAAATTACATTTAAAGAGCACCTTTCATGTCAGAAGGACGTCCCAAGGCGCTGGCCAGTGAGGGGTCAGGACTGAAGCATGGGGGAGGGGTGGGGGAGGGGTGAGGGAAAGTAGAGAGGTGGGAGGGCTACTAAAGGCACAATCGAAGAAGAGGAAAGAGACTGGCCTTGAAGGAGGCAAGGGAGGAAGCGAGGCGAAGGGACTGTGGGATGGAGTTCCAGAGTGTGGGGCAGAGAGGCTGAAAGCCCGGCCACCGATGGCAGGGCGGGTCGGGCGGGAGACATGGAGCAGGCCGGAGCCCGCTGAACAGAGGGAGCGGACAGGTTGGTAGAGAGTCAGCAGGTTAGAGAGGTAGGAGGCTCAAGGCCATGGATGGCCTTGAAAGTGAGGACGAGGATCTTGAACTCGATCCTCTGAGGGATGGGGAGCCACTGGAGTCGGGCGAGGGTGGGAGTGATGGAGTCGGGGAGCCTGGTCCGCGAGAGTACATGAACTGCAGAGTTTTGGATGATCTGCAGCTTGTGAAGGGAAGAGTTGGGAAGGCCGATGAGGAGGGAGTTTCCATAATCGAGCCTAAATGTGACGAATGCTTGGATGAGGGTTTCGGCAGCCTGAGGGCTGAGGCAGTGGCGGAGTCTGGCATTGTTGTGGAGGTGGTAGTAGGCAGTGCTGGTCATGGCGTGGATGTGGGGGAGAAAGAACAGTTCAGGGTCGAACAAGACACCCAGGTTCCTGACTGGCTTAGTGAGGTTGAGTGTGCAACCATGGAGGCTGATGCTGACAGCGCCCGAGGTGCGGAGGCGCTGGCGCAAGCTAATCAGGAGGGCTTCAGTCTTGCTGGCGTTGAGTTGGAGAAGGTTGTCCCTTGTCCAGAATATGACGTCGGACAGGCAGTTGGTCAGGACGCCAGTAGTCCTGGAGTTGAAGGTGGAGGCAGAGAGATAGAGTTGGGTGTCATCCGCATACATGTGGAAATTTATCCCATGTCTGCGGATGATGTCATCAAGGGGGAGCATGTAGAGGGTACTTGTAAGGTATTTGCCAGATGTTAGTGAAAGAAGAAAATTGTCAGTGACCTAAGAAGAAAGACAATGCGTGACAATGCCTTTGTGGAGTCCTGTAGCTCAGTGGTTAGAGCACTCGCTTTGCAAGCGAGAGACCTGAGTTCAATTCCAGGCAGAGGGCGAAACCTTGGGCAAGTTTCCTTACTCCACACAGAGCCTAATAATAATCCCTCCAAAACAAAAAACAATAACAAATTGGTCATTTTCAATCTACAACTGTTTGTGGGACATTTCTGTGCGCAATTGGCTGACGCGTTCGCCCACAAATATACAGTCAATTCACTTTACAGTGTGTTCTGTGAAGCTCTTTGGGACGTCCTCCCGACGTGAAAAGCGCTATATCAAATGTAAGGATTATTATTATATTATTATTATTACATCAACAAGGACGAAGGGGGAGGTGACCATAGGTGCGGTCAAACAAATAGGTTTTAAGGTGAAATATGAAATATTTTAAGGTGAAATGCAAGGTTTATTATTATTATTATTATAACTTTTCAAAGAAGTTTAAGGAGCCTGAGTTAACACACTACAGAGAGAGGAGGCTGAATTGTTTTGACATTCCAGCTATATTTAATAATAATAATAATAATCCTTGCATTTGATATAGCGCTTTTCACGTCGGGAGGACGTCCCAAAGCGCTTCACAGAACACACTGTAAAGTGAATTGACTGTATATTTGTGGGCGAATGCGGCAGCCAATTGCGCACAGCAATGTCCCACAAATAGTCGTAGATTAAAAATGACCAATTTTTATTATTGTTTTTGGTCTTGGAGGGATTATTAGAAGGCGTGTGGAGTAAGGAAACTTGCCCAAGGTTTCGCCCTGCCTGGAATTGAACTCAGGTCTGTCACTTGCAAAGCGAGTGCTCTAATCACTGAGCTACAGGACTCCAGTCTGTGGTCTGAAATTTGTGGTCTGACCACAGACATTGGTATGTCTTTATGTTTTTAAACTGATGCCATGTAAGTTATACATTTAACATTAGAAGCACTTAACACTTTATTTAGGGGATCGTTGGCCATAATACGAGGCCATATTCTCCTTTTGAGTAATACTATGGAATCTTGAACATCCACCTGAACAGGCAAATGGAAACTTGGTTTACCATCTCATCAATCGATGAACAACAACAACTTAGATTTATATAGCGCCCTCCACGTCGGATAGCATCTCAGAGCGCTTAAACCTCTGACCTCTAACACAGCATTCCCTCGGCATTCCTTCTATGAAACATAGCATTGCCTCTGTGAAACCTCTAACACAGCATTGCCTCGGCACTGCACTGGAGTGTCAGCCTAAACTATAATAATAATAATAATAATAATAATCCTTGCATTTGAAAGTGAATTGACTGATATTTGGGCGAACGGGCAGCCAATTGCGCACAGCAATGTCCCTGAACTCAGGTCTCCTTGCAACGACCTAACAAACTTCTGACTCAGAGGCAAGAATATCCCATTGAGCCAGGCTGTCACCTAGTTGGAACTTTTTTAACAGAGCTGCCCTCATACATAGACTGCAAAAAAACTAACTTTGCCAAGCACTTACTACATACTTAGAAATTGAATTTTACTTTGTTGTCATGTTAAGTTAGACTCAGCTAATGTTATTCTGAAACAGATTTATTGAGATTGAAAAGGCAAACCCAAATACCAAATTCTTCTGCTAACCAGAAATAATGTCACACTGATTTACGGGAACTCCATAATTTATGTCCAGGGGTAGCGGCGGGGAAATCCCATGGGTCAGTGTAACACACAATGGTTACCAGCAGGACTTTTTGTTTGTGTGCTGTTATGTGAATCCAGGTTGCAAACAGTACTTTATTTTCAATGCCACTATTGTTTGTGATCATTAGTTGGCAGCTGGCATAAGTTTCAGGATGACTCAGTTGGTAGCAATGTTGCCATGAGGCAGAAGGTTGTGTATTCAAGCCTAACGTCAGGACTGATACTCCAGTGCAGTGCTTTGGGTACATTCCATTATTGGAGGCGCTATCCTTCAGATGAGATGTTAAACCGCTTATTTAGGTGGAAGTTAAAGATTCCATGACACAATTTGAAAACAGAAGGAAGTTTCGTCTGGTGTCCTAGTCAACAATCCCCCAAATAAAATTGGTCATTTGATTCATGGCCATTTGTAGGATATTGCTGTGCACAATGACTGCCACATTTGAATACATAATCATTATACTGCAGTGAATCCTGTGAAGTGCTTTGAAACGCCATACCAATGTGAAAGATGGCATATCAAACATAAGGATTATTATATGTATTTATCCTATTATCTTTGTATGTGCAGACAAAGTGAATAAAATTAAACATTTGTTAGTGATATGTTGAATTATGCCCTCTCTGGTCCATGATTCAGCCAAGATGAGCTCATAACAGAATAATGCTTTCACCAGTACTCTATTTATTTTGCTCATAATAAATTGTGGTTGTCTTCTAAAGTAGTTCATGCATTGGAACTCCTAGAAACACCTAGACATAACGTAAGGAAGAAATAGCTTACAATTTTAAACCTCCTTATTTCAAAAATCCTAAAGTACTGTAATTGCTTTCAATACAATACAATGACTGTTTTCATAGAGAAATGCAGAAAGATCCAACAAAAGGACTTGAGATTCATTGATCAATTTATCTTGATAAACGTCCTTCTCCTTTGCAATAGTGTTATGATATCTATATTAGAAAAATGAAAGCATAGTTTAGGATTAATTCCAAAACACAGCAACGGTTGCTAGGTTGGGTGGAAGGTCATGTGTTTAATACATATTCAATCTATATAAAGGCTCATTCTAGGCCTAGATGTATAACAGGCAAGAAAACCAATGCACCTGGAATCAAGAGCAGAAATGGAAAAGTAGATTTGGGTGTCACCTTAGCATGCCATCAAAATGTCTCAAGGTACTTCACAGGATTTACTGTGTATTTGTAGGCAAATGCAGCAGCAATGCTGAATGTAAAAGGTGCACGTAAATGAGGTAAAGGAAGAGGCTGTGAAAACTCTCCAGGTGACTGTGCAAAGGTGGGAGAACCTGTTAGAAAAGACAAAATGGAAACAGTGGACCAGGTAGGATTGGAACCAGAATAGTACGGTCCACAGAGTGAATGCGGGAGGAGAGGTGATCGAGGGGCATGGAGTGTCAAACGCCGCAGAGACGTTAAGGAGGCAGAGCTCTGGTCACAGAGAGAGATTGCATTGTGAGTGACTTTGCCGAGGGCTTGGGTGGAGGATGGAGTGAAGGGAAAGGTGGGAGGGCTTTCAACTACTACGCCCCGAAGCTTTGGAATTCTCTCCTCCCATCCCTCCGCCTCGCCCCTCCTTCCCCTCTTTTAGATCACGACCAAAGAACTTCCTCTCCGACCGTGCTTACAGTCACCTCCCTCCTTCCTCCGGCTCAGCCACTGGTTAAGCGCCCCAAGACTCTGCACCCCCAACCCACTCCCCGGCCCTGGGGAGAGAGCTACTTAAATGCAAGTTGGACTAGTTTGTTGCAGTAAGTTTGGAGCTGGCAGGCGTTTGGTTCTAAGTTAATGAAGGCTATTCAGCGGCTTCGCGTGGCGTGATGCCTGGTGTCATTTCTCTGCGGGGGGCTGTCAGCCTGGTCAGCCCCAGCTCTCCAGCCCTGACACGCCCTCCCTCCTGCATACGTCAGACTGAACCACAGCGGAAGCTGGCGGCAGGAAGTGACGCACTCGGCTGGTTCAAAATGACAGTTGGTGCTGACAGTTGGTGCTGATAGCCGGTACGTCTCGCGTCGTCGTGGGCGACAGTTATTATTGTGGGGTTTTTTTTTTTGTTTTTTCTTTGTTTTTCGCGGCGCCGCCGCCGCCGCCGCTCTCGGTGTTGAGGGGAGAAATGTTTCTGAATCAAACGGAGCCCGAGTTGTGGTCAGTCGGTGCCGCCTCCCGGCTGAGGTGACCGCTGTCTGGGCCGCGGGCGGAGGTGAGCGGGATCGGGGGAGGGGAGGGGAGGGGAGCCGCCCGCGTTAGTTCGTGCCCACACCCCCCCCCACCGCCACCACCGACTGACGGGCCTCTTACCACCGGCTGTCGCCGCTTACATAACCCCGGATAAACCCGACCCGACTCCAGCCCCGTGACATGACTGTGTATCCCCCCCCCACCCACACCTTGACCCTGACTCACACCCTGACTCTGACTCACTAAATGGTGCTCGTGGCCTGTGATACAGATATAACTTACCCTGTCACAGGCTAAACAAAAGTACAGGCAACTATTGCTAACTGCTCTAACCCCTCTCCACCCCGCCTTCATGCCTCCTGAATCGAAAACACGGAGGGGACGGGAGGGAGAGTGAGGGAGTGAAGGAGGGAGGGAGGGAGGGAGAGTGAGTGAGTGGGGGAGGGAGGGAGGGTGAGGGAGGGTGAGTGAGTGAGTGAGTGGGGGGGAGGGAGGGGGGGAGGGAGGGTGGTGAGGGAGGGAGGGAGGGTGGTGAGGGAGGGAGGGAGGGTGAGTGAGTGAGGGAGGGGTGGGAGGGAGGGTGGTGGGTGAGGGAGGGAGGGTGAGGGAGGGTGGGTGGGTGGGAGGGAGGGTGGTGGGTGAGGGAGGGAGGGAGGGAGGGAGGTGAGTGAGTGAGTGAGGGAGGGAGGGAGGGTGGGTGGGTGAGGGAGGGAGGGAGGGCTCCTTGCGGGTGAGCTGAACTGGTTCCAAGGTGACTTGCTTGGGCAATAGAATATCAGAATCAGGTCCACCCTCTGCGGAGGTCTCAGTCGTCGTCATAAGGCCAGGTGGGTCCGCAATACCCATGGGGCACTGCCGATAACTGACCGGGCTCGCTCGCTGCTGGGCTTGGAGTGGCAGACTCGTCAACGCGAGCAGCGATTCTTCCGACTCCTAACCGGTAGAGTGGTTTTAACCGGCGCTCTCAAAAATGCAGGCGTGATTTTGGCTGGTCAAAACAGCACACACTCGGGTCCTCAGGTTTTGGCTCTTCCCAACCAGCACCTAATACTCTCTGGTATTAGATGAGCACTATGTGCTTCCCAGACAAAGAGTGAACAGTCCGTACCCAGAAATTTGAATGTGTAGGTGGCATACATAATAATAATAATAATCCTTGCATTTGATATAGCGCTCTTCACGTCAGGAGGACGTCCCAAAGCGCTTCACAGAACACACTGTAAAGTGAATTGACTGTATATTTGTGGGCGAACGCGTCAGCCAATTGCGCACAGCAATGTCCCACAAACAGTCTTAGATTGAAAATGACCAATTTATTATTGTTTTTGGTTTTTGGAGGGATTATTATTAGGCTCTGTGTGAAGTAAGGAAACTTGCCCAAGGTTTCGCCCTGCCTGGAATTGAACTCGATCTCTCGCTTGAAAAGCGAGTGCTCTAACCACTGAGCTACAGGACTCCACATATGCGGACTTCAATTTGTTTTGGATATCTCACCAGTTCTGGCCAGGCTCCAATGGCTCCCCATCACCAAACGGATCCTACTTCAAGATTGTCACATTCGTGTTCAAATCTATTCACTCCCTGGCACCTCTCTTCCTCTCCGACCTCAATCCCCAATCTACTACCCGACGACTCCGCTCGACTGGCACCGGCCTCCTGCTCGTCCCTGGCACTCTCTGCTGCACCATCGGAGGTCATGCTTTCAGCCACTACGCCCCAAAACTCTGGAACACTCTCCCTCAATCCCTCCGCCTTGCTCCCTCTCTCCCCTCTTTCAAGTCCCACCTGAAGACTATCCTGTTTGACCGTAGTTATGGCCACCTCCCCCGACTTGGAGTCAGGCTCCGCCACTGTTAAGCTCTCTGAGACGCTACCCTGCGTGGAGGGTGCTATATAAGTGCAAATTGTTGTTGAGTAAGCTTTCAGTATCATGTCTTGTTCAAATATCAGCCTTGTTGGTGAATTTTGGTCGACAATTTAACTTTATGTGTGAGAGTTGTATCTAAACTTGATTGTGTTCCTCTCTGACATTCACACGTTTAGTTCCAGCATGTCACTGAACATCAACGGGTGCTAAGACCAACTGTAGTGCTCCAACTGATCCAGTGCTAATTCAGCACAGGTCAAGCAACAAACCTAGTACGCATCCCTGACCCATTCATGCCACATTGGTAACTGTGCCTTCAGTCTCTATACTCGTGATCTCTGGAACTCCCTGTCTCAATCCCTCTGGCTCGCTTTCTTTTTATCTATTTTCATATTTCACCTTAAAACCTATTTGTTTGACCGCACCTATGGTCACCTCCCCCTTCGTCCTTGTTGATGTAATATTAATAATAATAATCCTTGCATTTGATATAGCGCTTTTCACGTCGGGAGGACGTCCCAAAGAGCTTCACAGAACACACTGTAAAGTGAATTGACTGTATATTTGTGGGCGAACGCGGCAGCCAATTGCGCACAGAAATGTCCCACAAACAGTTGTAGATTGAAAATGACCAATTTATTATTGTTTTTGGTTTTTGGAGGGATTATTATTAGGCTCTGTGTGGAGTAAGGAAACTTGCCCAAGGTTTCGCCCTGCCTGGAATTGAACTCCGGTCTCTCACTTGCAAAGCGAGTGCTCTAACCACTGAGCTACAGGACTCCACAAAAGCCCCACCACTGAGACATTATCCAAACTAAGGCTGCTGTATAAATGCAAGGTATTGTTGCTGTACCTTCCAGATTTTTATGACTCAGGTTTTAACCTTGGCACATCTGATGTTCAAAAATGATGTGGAAATGAAAAAGTAGGAAATGAAAACTCCCTCTCTCTCTCTCTCTCTCTTTCCTATCATATCAATTGAGTTCCTAACCCCCACCCCACATAGAATTATCCAAGCAAATTCTCAAATCCACAATATCTGCAGTAAGCCCATTGTGGTACCCAGTTGAAAAATAAATGTTTTCAAATAGATTGTTTACCGATATTTGCGAAAGTTACAGTACATTGTCATAATATAAAACATTTTGTGTTACCTTTTTATGCAGAATATGAAATTACAGTAACAAGTGAGAGAAGAAAAATTGACTTGAGTCACTATGGCACATGCGGCAAACAAAAATGCAGATAAGTCTGCTCCTAGTGAAAGCATTCTCTCAGGAATAGCACTTAATGATAACAAAGCTGGAATGGAAGGTTTGGATAAAGAAAAAATTAACAAAATAATTCTGGAAGCGTCGAAGGTAAGTGACCATCATGAGGCAATGGTATCTGTTTCACTGCTCATGCGTGCAGTCAGATGTATCGCTTCTTTTACACCAACCAGGTTTTATACAATAAACTAGCTTCCAGGCCATCAGGCCTCCACAAACAGACTGCATGATAAGTGCACACAGGCAGTGATGTTCGTGGTAATCTAATAACCTGGAAGTTGCTAATTTTTTGTCTAGAAGCTAACCAAATGGTCAGCTGGATGAATGGCGTCCACGTGCAATTTGCATTTTGAACAAACCGGTGCTTTTAATGAAGCGCACTATAATAGGGCTATACTGTATAAAGAAACATTGTTGTAAATGGTGTTTTTGACCATTATAATTTTGTTGATTTCAACTTCAGCAGTTAAACCGAGTCAACTTGAGAGTTCAATAAAGTAGCATACTTTATTGGGAATGGGAATGGGAATTAGGATTGCAATGAACTCAAAGTATTATGGACTCAAAGACAGAGTCCATCTGATGGGTGTGTATACTCAGATAGGTAACAAAGTGTCCCAAACACAATGTGTCCCTCCAGGGAGAGAGTACACATTCCATTCAAAGCATGGAAACTTACTTGAATAGGTGGCATGCATGGAATTCAGTCTGGTTTGGATAACCTCAAGAATTATGTTGGGTTTTTATATGTGTCAAGACACATAGCTGACCAACAAAAATGGATATCTCGCCAAAGAAGGATACACTGGTCTTGGAGTAAGTTCAGCTAAGCCTATGATTCACCAGGATGATTGCTGGGATGAAATGACTTAACTATAATGAGAGCTTGAGTAAATCTGGTTTTGAAAGCAGGTGATTAAGGGGTGACCTGATTCATGTATTCAAAATAATGAAGGGTATTGACAAAATAAATAGGGAATTACTCTTCACTTGTTGTGAGTTCAGAATAAGAGAACATAACCTTAAAATTAGACCTAACCGGTTGAAAGGACAGTCCAGAAAAAAAAGTGTTTTGAGCATATGGGATGGACTTGCTTCAGATTTAGGCCATAGATAATATTGTAAACCATTACTTCATTTTTGTTCCACTGTATACCATGTTGTTAACTTTAAACAAGAGAAAATAAATGCAGACAAGATTACTGTTTTGTAGGTGTATCTCTTTCTTAAAGTTAAATAAACTACATTTTGGTCATAGTCATGACATTCTCAATGGCACTCAATGACAACAGGGCTAGAATAGAAACTTTGAATAATGAAAACATTGTAAAATAATTTTGGTGTTCGTTCAGTTGTTAAAAATATGTCAGTAACTCTAATAGACCAATTAGAGTGATGCCCCAATAGATAACATTTCTGTAATTTGTAAATTAGAGCTGACAATGTTTTCAAAATCCTAAACCTAAAGAATGTAGCTTAACTACTTTATGAGACAGATATGGGCATGAGAGTCAGACTTATGAGTACAGACTAGAAATTTTATAACAAGCACACAAAAATTGTTCAGCAGTGGAGGTATTATTAAAATGAACATCCAGTTTACATAATTTTGGGTAAAATTGATGTGAATATATTACACATTAGATCTCTGTCATAAAATGTATCACTGATTCCAAAGTCTCTTATTTGCTATTAACTGGGACCCTAATTATACTTTATTTACTATAAATGGAATCTTGTTGTTGTATTTGTTCCCAGGGTTCAAAATTTTATGAAAATGAACTTAAGAAGGAGCAGCAGGTAAACCATCGAATTGATAAAATGTTACAACAGAAAGCACAAATTACAGAGCAACAGCTGAGGAAAGCACAATATCAGGTACGAAAATGAGTGAGTGGGAGAAATAAAATAAGGTTCTTGACTCGGTCATTTAAGATAGCATTTAAAAATCTACGATATGTTGATCTATTCTAAAAGTTGTTTTGTGGTGTTGGTTTCCACTTTAACTCCATCCTCTATTACTGGAGCTATGCTAAACAATTGGATTAATGCCTACTTGTAGGTGGAAATAACTGTTCGATCTTTAAAATAGAACCATTATGTTAGTAATGATCCATAAGAATGTGAGTATAGAGGAGAGCGAAGTACTGCAGCATAGGATATACAATTAATGGGTCAATCAATATTACTCAATCGTTGATTTAATAGAAAACAAATTTAAAAATAATTTCCTCCTTTCCTAATTCCCCCTCTTGCCCCTTTTTCCCATATGCCAATTGCCTAATGTCTCTATAAAGGAGTGGTTACTTGGGTGACTTGCTTCGAGGCAATTGCATTAGTGTTGGTGCAAATTGGTGGAATCCCTGACTGTCCAGCACCTTGGGACGTCCTCCTGATGTGAAAGATGCTATACAAATGTAATTTCTTGTTTGTTGCTGTTGTTGTTTTATAACCAACTGATAGATATCATAGCAGAGCAATTTCGAATTTTAAAGTCTTAAAGTTTTAACTCAAACTCTTTTAGGTACTAAAGTTCTGTTGCATCTTTTAAAATATAGCATCTGGAAAAGGAATGTTCAAAACATTTCTAATGGTAGATACTATAAAGAAAAATGGGAGGAAAGTCTGCTTATGGGGAAAAAATAGGAAAAAAGGTTGTGCAAGAGGATTCATTCAGTTTTGAACAAAAAAACTTCCACTGTTTCATTGCTTGGACAATCTTTTGACTGAACTCTTGATAACTTGTCACTGCATGGAAAAAGGGGACAGTGACAAGTTATCCAGATTGGCAAGTTAGGCATATATCTAAATACATCAATAAATGCAACTAGGATATTGACAGCATGATGACTTAAGTGAGGGTGGTCCAACTGGTGGTCCGCAGGCCGATTTCATCTGGTCCCTCCCTGCTCCATTTTGCCTAGCTCACCCGCTCCCTCCATAACCCGTAAATGTTCTGTTATGTCTCTAGAATGGAAACAAAAAAATCTTGCATATGCAACCCGTGGAACTTTCTGATTTAAGTGAGAGTGGCAAGTTAAGCCAGGGTTGAGTTATATAATGATACTAGCTGTACCTGTTGCAGCTTTGCTTGCAACCAAAGAATCCAATATAAAATGTAGATTGACACACGGACAGACATGTTGTCTTTATCTATACTTAACTGGGAGGACTCCTGTGGGAGGACTCAGTGGGAAGACTCCTTTAATCTATTTTCTCTCACAGTCTCTCAGTCTCTCTATCTCTCTCTCTCAGTCTGTATCTCTCACAATGTCTCTGTCTCTCTCTCAGTCTGTCTCTCTCTTAGTCTTTCTCTGTCTCTCCCACAAAACACACAGTCACTACACTTTTAATATATTCTCTCTCACAGTCTATCTCTTTCTTTCTCTCTGCCTCTCCCTCAGTCTCTTTCAGTCTCTCTCACTATCTCAGTCTGTCTCTCGACGTAGGATTATTCTAGCTCCCATGACTACCATGTTTTCCTCTTCACTAGATTGCCTTACATTTTTTTGTAAGTCTTTGTATACAGACTAACAAACTTTTCTGGGAATAAAACGACTAATAAGATCTAATAGACTGGTGAAAAAAGTTTGGTAGACTGAATGGCCACCTCGTTTTTCTAAAATCTCAATTAAAGCAGTCCAAGGGTTGTTAGACTACTAATCTTTTAACTGAAGCTTTTAAAGATCCTGTTAAAAGGGAAGGCTCTTTGGGGAGCAAGTTAAGAAGCAGGAAGTATATAAGGAACTGTACTTTTAAAGTATTCCATGATTTTCCCCAGTGAGTGGTTGCCTCGTCACACCACCTTTGGAGCTATGTCTTTGATAGCTTTGAAGATTTTTTTAAAAATTGAAGCACACATAGAGGAGCTGTTAAGCTTTTGTACATATTTTGATCTATTTTCTGTAATAGAATAGTACAATGGTGGGCTGATTAAATGCATTGTGGATGTATTTGCTGTCAAGCCCTACCTCAGAACTTTGAATTTATGTAGTTTAAGATGACACTCCAGTGCAATGCTGGGGGTTTGCTGTATTCTTGGAGGTGTTGTCCTTTGGATGAGACGTTGAACTGAGGGTTGAACTGAGAGTTTATCTGCCTGTTCAAATGAACATTCCATTGGCATGTTTCTCTCAGTGACCTGGTCAACAATCTCTCGAATAAAATTGGAAAATTGGGTATTAGCTTCATAGCTGTTTGTGTGACAACAACAACACCTAGATTACATTTGTATAGTGCCTTTCACCTCGGGAGGACGTCCCACACACACACACACACACACACAGACACACACACACACACACAAAATCAGGTCATATTTTCAAAGAACTGACTCAACAACAACAACAACAACTTGCACTTATATAGCGCCCTCCAGGCAGAATAGAGTCTCAGAGCGCGTAACAGTGGTGGAGCCTGACTCTGAGCCGGGGGAGGGAGGTGCTGTAATCCCATGTCGAAGAGGAAGGTCTTCAGGCGGGACTTGAAAAAGGGGAGCGAGGGGGCAAGGTGAAGGGATTGAGGCCAAGTGTTTCAGAGTTTCGGGGTGTAGTAACTCATGCTGGAATATAGGCAATCAACTTTAACTCATGTGGAGTCCTGTAGCTCAGTGGTTAGAGCACTCGCTATGCAAGTGAGAAACCTGAGTTCAGTTCCAGACAGGGCGAAACTTTGGCCAAGTTTCCTTACTCCACACGCCTAATAATAATCCCTCCAAAACAAAACAATAATTAAATTGGTCATTTTCAATCTACGACTGTTTGTGGGACATTGCTGTGCGCAATTGGCTGCCGCGTTCGCCCACAAATATACAGTCAATTCACTTTACAGTGTGTTCTGTGAAGCTCTTTGGGACGTCCTCCCGACGTGAAAAGCGCTATATCAAATGCAAGGATTATTATTATTATTATTATTCAGCTATAGGGATAATATCCTATAATTCTGAAAGAAAAAATGGCTTTCCATCCCAATTCTAAAGTTCAATGAATGAAACGTATCAAATCATTTACATTACTTAATTCACAATAATTGCAAATTAAACTTTAAAAATCTAAATTTGCCATCCAAATAGTATTTCAAAAGTAAAAATCCATATTTAAAAGGTTAATTAAAATGGGAACAAAATATTTGCTCAGAGGATTATTTATCGTGATTCTTTAGCTCTGTGAATAATTTGTTTTATCTAATGTACTGTGTTCAGTAATCTGTTGTCTGATATGAATGAGTGTGCTTTTGATCTAGGTTTATTCATGGCTGTGTGCATTTACCTACTGCTGACTGAAAACAATTACAAATCCAGTTTATCTAGTACTAAGACCAATATTTACAAATCAGCAGCGGAGTATAAAGTTTGGAATCTAAAATCAACTGGTTTAGCAACATAGTTACAAGTTTGCCTTGTATATTACTGATTCCCACTACTTTGACATAGTGAATGATGAGTCAATTAACTCCTCTAGATTGCTTTCAGTTCCCCCCTTGCAAGTTTTATCCATCCATTTCGTAATCTTGCATCCATGTAGTGCCTTATATAGTATCTTGGACATTGTAAGTAATGTAATCTATTAAATCTCATTTGTCAGTTTCAGGCCATATGCATACAAAATGGAGCACAGTTACCTGATATTTATGTAAATATTCTGGCCTTTGCTCCTTATTTGGCATTTAATTTGACCACATGTACCCTCTGGAAATACAAAAAACAATATAAAAGCTTGAAATGGGGCACTGTCTCCAGTTTGAAGCTCCAATTAGAGCCTTTGGAACTAGAATATCCCAGTGGGAGAAGTGAATGTTCAAACCAGGAAATTCCTAAACCTTGCATTGAGTTTTGCTGGAACAGTGTAGTGGGCCAAAGTTGAAAGAGTGAGACACAGTGAGGTCAGGAGCATGCTTGTGCACAGAATGGAGATGCTTTGTAAAGTGATTATCTAGTCTTACAATTCAGTCCTTTATTGGCTTTTTAAAAAAAAAACATTTTTTAAAATGTTCTAATAGTAGTAATGTACATCATGTGAACAGTAACCTTTGAATTTGTTAGCAATTTATTTTGCATTCTTTTCTGCAGTGTTTTACAGGAATTTAATTTTTCATTCATTAATAATGTGTCCAGATATAGAAAACAATCAATTTTATGGAGAGTTCTCTTTGATAAATAGGTTATTTTTTTTATTTTCTTTGATTAGTCATCCCCTCATGTTGTGATCAGATCATAGGTTCATGGGAGGAATTATTCATGTTCCAGTGATCACAAGACTGGAAGCATCCAAAGGGCAGAGTGTTACAAAATCATTCACATGACAATAGTTAGTCATTTTATTCTTATTGCAGTGAAGATAACATTTGAACTTTTGTACAGTGCTAATTAAGTGCATGATTCAAAATACTTGCCAGAAGATCAGTATAAGAAAGGCATTGATGTAAAATGCAACTGCAATACAACAATTGTTTCACACAAAAGTAAGTTTAATACTTTTAAACTGGATTAGATTGATTGAAAATGTAACGTCACTGTATATTCCAACTACATAGAATATTCCTTTGTGGATTCCTCTTAGTATGTGCCAATTCAACCATTTCTCCTGTTTCAATTAAATATTGAAGAGTTTAATGCAGATTATTCTTTTCAAAGCAAAGCACTAGAAAAGCAAGTTAGTGGCACAAATACTAATGGAAACCACAAATCCATTTATATAGCATCTTGGTAACTGGTCCTCGAACACTTGATAGAGATGGTGGGCGGGGTAAGTAGAAGAGTGAGGCTGAAGTAGATCACAGAGTTATAGGTTGGTGTGAGGGAGTGAAGTGGTTTGTAGGTGAATGTGAAGATCTGTTGAGAGACTTGGAGCGTAGCAAGAATAGGTATGATTTTGTCTGGATAAGAATGTGGATAATGGGAGCTTTTGCTAAACTAGAATTTGCATTGATGTCATGTGAGAACAGGAATGGCTATATGGATACCAATCAGTTTACTTATATTAAACTATATCTGCACTTAAACAACAAAATTACATTTGTATAGGACCTCTCACATCGGGAGGATGTCCCAAGGCACTATAATAGCGCATTTTGTACTTTACAAAAACAAAGTGGGAGGCTGAGCAGGGTAGAAGATGGGGGTGAGAGAATAGCAGGAAGGTGACCAAAAGTGTATTAAATTGTATATATGAAGGATTTTGAAAGCAGAAAGTGAGTGTGAAAGATGGAGGACTTTGGTGGAGAGTTTTGAAAATGGGGACAAAATGGCTGAAAGCTCTCCCAACAATTGTGGTGGAGAATGTGCAGATGAATGAGGGGAGTGTTATTGCAAGAGATCACAAAAGCATGGCTGAAGCTCACATACAAAAAATTGCCACTAGGGAAGGTATTGGAAGGCTATCGTGTCTACCAGTAACTGAAAAGATGCCGGTGCCTTTAAGAAGGGGAAAAAATGGTTCAAAAAAGAAAAAAATAGTTTTCTTCTTCCCCAAAAAAACTTTATAAATTTATGTATGAAGTCTTCTTTCTTATCCCCGAGGTGGAGCAACTTGCAGCAGACCTGGAGAAGAGACGTGACATGAGTCGCACAATTGTACACATCGATATGGATGCTTTTTATGCTGCTGTGGAAATCAGGGATAACCCTGAGCTAAAAGACAAGCCAATAGGTGTTGGATCAACGAGCATGCTGGTATTTTCTTTTAAGACTACTTCTACGAATTTGATACAGCTTCAGGGTTTATACTTCCAGAATATAACAGTTTTGTGTTTTTCTTGAGTCTAATGTGTTCATAAAATTCTTTCCTATTCAGAGTAAACAGAAAGAAAATATGATAGAATTAATTTAGTGACATCCTGAATAATTTAGCAAAGGAAATTCCATTACATGGTTATATTAACATTGAGCCTTTGTTTATCGAATGAATAAGACTAGTAATGATATAATTGTGATGCTAAAATTAGCTAAATTTAAAGTGCAAAATAAACTTGAGACGGAACTGGTGATAGGTGACCATCCTAGATGATAGATGTTGATAGATCACAAAACATGTTAAGATGTTTTCTTTCATGTAAATAAATTTGCTTTATTGCATTTTAAAATGCAAAAGTAGCAAGGAGTAACAGCAGTTTTCAGGAGGATATTGATTGAGCTGTGACTGTTAGTTGTCAAATTGCCATCTTAATATCTGCAAGATTTGTTGTTGAATTTGCAGTACTTTTTCTTAAGGATTCTTCCAAAGTATAACAATTGATAGTATGAGAATTATGCTAAACACCTCATTGTGTTGCCTCCATAGAGTGGAGGCAGCACAATGGGTTGGCTTTATTTCTGTTTACAATTTCCCTTTAGTTGGTGAATTGCCTTGGGACGTCCTCCCGACGTGAAAGGCGCTATACAAATGTAATTTGTTTTGTTGTTGAAACCCAAGTCAGCAAGCTCTTTAAAAAGGCAAGCGCCTATTTTTTCAGACTCGGTCAATGTAGGATTTAGTATTTTGTAAATCTTGCAATTTGATATTTGCACAATGGAAGTTGCAATTAACACAACAAATCTATTTTTGAATATTTAAGTTTAAATAACTTTGTTTATTTTCTCCCCATCCTGTTATAGTGACTTCTTTCCCTGCACCAGATGTAATTTCCAATATTCTTTGTCATTCTCCTTTATGAAAACGGAAACAAAATATTAATGGTTCTATCTTTGCTGTAACTATTTAATTATTAAGCTGCATGTAGAACACACTGACTCTTTTGTTTGTTGATATTCCAATCTATAATTCTTCCTTGTATTCCTAATTATTCTTTTACTCTAATTCATAAGCTTTCTGTATTTATTTAAGGCCATCCATGGGCCTTGCCCCCTCCTACCTCTCTGACCTGCTGACTCCCTACCAACCTGCATGCTCCCTCCGTTCATCGGGCTCCGGCCTGCTCCATGTCTTCCGCCCGACCCACCCGACCATCGGTGGCCGAGCTTTCAGCCTCTCTGCCCATACACTTTGGAACTCCATTGCCCGGTCTCTTTGCCTCGCTTCCTCCCTTGCCTCCTTCAAGGCTGGTCTCAACACCCTTTTCTTCGACCGTGCCTTTGGTCTCCCTCCCACCTCTCTGCCTTCCCTCACCCCTACACCACCCCTCCCCCATGCTCAGGCTCTGACACTTGACTGTTCAGCGCTTTTGGACGTCCTCCTAATGTGAAAGGCACTCTATAAATGTAATTTTGTTGTTTTTTTGTTGTTATTTCTGATTTTTTTTCATGCGTTTTGTCATTTTTCTTCCTCATTCCATTGTTCTTGGATTTTATCAAAACAAGTACTGTATTGTATTTAGTCTTTGTCTTACCTATCACCTACTATATTATCACCTTAAACCTATACTGATATGATCACTGCCCTCCATGTTCATCAACCTTTAAATCCTGTTCTGGCTCATTTCCCAAATATAGGTAGGCTGTGGAGGCAGAATATATCAAAAATTAAAGAAAATTAGATATTGAGTTAGTAAGGAAATTCATTTGAGGATTTTGAGCAAGATATTAATAGAATTGAAAAAAAAAATTAGGTTTGGACAGTTGGTTCTTTCTAGTCCAGTCTTTTCAGTAGTATAGTGTTTATTAAATTATGTTATACACTTCAACAATTCTCTGAATTATATTTAATTCAATGATTTGGTGACACTGAATGAGATTTTTTTGATACAGATTTAAATGTTATAGTTGTCTATTTAACTACTATCATAGGTTGTGTATTACTTTTGAACATGGCTCCTGATGTAGCAATGTTTATTCCTGTAGTCAACATCAAATTATCATGCACGGAAATATGGAGTACGTGCAGCCATGCCTGGATTCATTGCTAAAAAACTGTGTCCAAACCTGATCATTGTTCCAGTAAACTTTGACAAGTATAAAGCAGTGAGCAAAGTGGTAAGTCATCAACAATTTAAGTATTTATATTAAAGATTTTTTGTGGGCAAGACCTATTTTGCTCCCCTTCCTCTTCGTATGCTACATATAGGAAGTGAGTGTCAGCAGAGAGTGAAGTGGCCAGCTTGCTACTGAGCCTCTGCCAATGTTAATTGGGAAACTTAACATAAAATGCAGAAGAATAAACAGGAGTGACTCTTCCTTTGCTATTTGTTTGTAATGTATCATTTCCCACATAGAAGGATTTGCAGTTGACCTATTATTTGATATTTGAATTTGGTACTTTTGAAAAGAACCAAGAATGAATCTTCCTTTAACAAATATGAGAATACTAAAAGAAGAGGTGATGTGACACAAATACATAGTGAACCAAGTGATAGTGCAAATTGCATTTAGTGAACAAAATTACAGAGTGGAAGTTTGAACTTTGCGAACAAAGTGACAAGAGTTTTGCTGTAATAACAGTACTTCTGCAAACAAATGAAATCGTTGATAAAATGCAAAAATAAATCTGTTTTTAATAATGAGCTGAAATTGCAAGGAACACAGTAACAGGACACTAGATGATTCAGAGACCCCTTTTCTCAGAAGAGTGGAGGGTATAACTAGCAAGTACGTGAAATATGCACAACAATCCCTCCAAAACAAAACAATAATAAATTGGTCATTTTCAATCCATGACTGTTTGTGGGACACTGTTGTGTGCAATTGGCTGCCGCGTTTCTCCCACAAATATAGTCAATTCACTTTACAGCATATTTGAGACGACCAGAAGACGTGAAAAGCGCTATATCAAATGCAAGGATTATTATTATTTCATCTAAAAATAGAATTACTAAATCCGTCCAATAAGACTTGAAGCTTGTTTACAGTATGTGTCCTTTTCACAACCACTTTAGTCTAAGTGTGAAAAGTGCAATCTTGAGAAGCAGTTGCATGTGCTAGTTTATATGTGATATCTGTTTGTGCTTTTGTTATTATATAGCAATAAGTTAAGAAAAAATATGAGAACCAGTTCCACTGCACTTTTTGATCTGCAGAACTTTCAAACATAAATATTGCATTTTAATCTTATACATTTTTTTGCTAATGTATAGCACAGAATGTGAAATGTGATTTGTGAATTTGATTAGCACATTTTCTTGCTCAGCTGGTTGTCTGACACAAGCGGAAATCTGGCACCATGTTTAAGAGTATCCAAATCAAACTGAAAGTTCTATGCATCCCATCTTTACTTACAAATCCCTAAGATATTTATTGGAATGGAATGCACACTTTCTCCCTGGAGGGATGCATCCTGCTTACCTAATTCTGGAGAGTATTAGGAGCAGGTTGGCCGAGGCTTGGGGACACCAAGAATGTGCTGCTGGAATCTACCCAGCTAAATTGCATAGATAGCATTGTCTAGTAAGCTTTTCCATTGCTTGTTGAGCTAGGATCTGTTAGGGCGTTGGCTTGTAGGGGTAACAGGAGCTTAGTGGGAAGAGTGTCTGCCCTTCCAAATTCTGCTGATGAGCCAGGTGTCATCAGTAGTGCTCTGGAGTATTGTGGACCCGCCTGCCTCAGAAACTGGCCTACAGAGACCACCACATAGGGCTGGCTCACTTTGACATTCCGTTGCCAAACATGTCACCTTGGAACCAGTTCAGCTCCAAGGAGATCATGATCACCTCCCCCTACCCCCTAGAAGATAGTCACTAGATAGTCATTGTGAGCTTCCTGGTGGGCAACACAGCTCAGCATGAAATGGTATGGTGAGAACATTGCTACTTTCTTCCTTCCCACAGCTTAGTGACAAATCCCGTTTGCATATCTAATGTTGAAACTTTGTGTGGCTGTGCGAATCACATTGCTTCTTGTTAATATTGCAAATGCTAATCATATTGTTAATGCTGTTGTGATGGCATTCGATTAGCAAGCAATTTGGTCAGAAGGTAGCAATTCTGGCTTTTTGCTTATGGAGTGTGGTTCATTTCTGGCTGCCACTGCTCTCTCTGAACATGATTGCTTACAGTGCCAGTTACTGGTAGTTTTAGGGAGCTTTTGTGGTGTTACCGTCCTCTCCCGCTCCACTGGCTCCCGATCCCTTAGCATAGGGTGGTCCAACCATTTGGCTGCTGAGGGCTGGCTGCTGGATTGAGAAACATAACCTGTAAGAATCATACAGAAATCCTATGTTTTAAATTGTGTGACTGTATTACTTAATTTCATTATTTCAGTTACAAAAAGCAATGTAAAAATTCATACAATTTTTTAGAACAATAATATACAATATAAAGCACATGTATACAAAAATATTCATTGAATCCTTCGGGCACGATGTAACACTTCTCCTTTCAGGAATTTCTGACTTATTTCTTTGCAAAATACGTTACAAAATGAAGCACCTCAGCAATGGTTATAAATTTTTCTTGGGGAGGGCAGAGTAAAACTTAATAGCTAGGGACTTTAACGTGTAGATTGAATAGGTGCAAATGGTGTCAATTCAAGCTGCACATTAGACCACGGGTCCTTAATGTGAAGCTTGAGTAGGTGCAATGTTAGACATAAGAACCACAATTCCTGCTTTCATTCAAATAATGGTTCAGCCCTGTCATGTGCGTATACTTTCACCGGACCTGAAAAAGTACTAGATTGATCTCTACTCTCCATAGACTGTGGAGTTTTCCCCATATGTGGACCTAAGAACCTATAGTGTATGGGAGAAACCATTAGAATTGATAGGTATGCAGAATGTTCGGCGGACCGGATGAAATCCCCCAGATTTAGCCCGTGGCATTTGCCACCTCAAGGCTTGATTATGGGAACTCCCTCATCGGCCTTCTGAACTCTTCCCTTCACAAGCTGCAGATCATCCAAAACTCTGCAGCTTGTGTACTCTCACGCACCAGGCTCCGTGACCCCATCACTCCCACCCTCACCCGACTTACTGGCTCCCCATCCCCCAAAGGATCGAGTTCAAGATCCTCGTCGTCACCTTTAAGGCCATCCATGGCCTTGCCCACTCCTACCTCTCTGACCTGCTGACTCCCTAACCAACCTGCCCGCTCCCTCCGCTCAGCAGGCTCTGGCCTGCTCCATGTTTCTTGTCTGACCTGCCCGACCATCGGTGGCCTGTCTTTCAGCCTTTCTGCCCCCACACTCTGGAACTCTATCCCACGGTCCCTTAGCCTCTCTTCCTCCCTTGCATCCTTCAAGGCCGGGATCAAGACCCTTCTCTTTGACTATGCCTTTGGTCTCCCTCCCACCTCTCTGCCTTCCCTCACCCCTACATCACCCCTCCCCCATACTTGGGCCCCAACATCCGACTGTTCAGCGCTTTGGGATGCCCTCCCGATGTGAAAGGTGCTCTATAAATGTAATTTTGTTGTTTTGTTGTGACAACCCTGCCCCAATTCAAGATCCGCCAATTCATATCACCCATGACCTCACCTGATCCCTACTTCTGGGACCCCCAACAATCCTACCAACAACAACAACAACAACAACAACAAGATTCCATTTAAAGAGCGCCTTTCACGTCGGGAGGACGTCCACTCTGGCTGCTCCCTTTGCTCAGCAAACGCTGACCTGCTTCATGTTCCCTGCCCAATCTACCCCACCATTAGTGTGAGAGTTTTTGATCATTTTAACTTTCTTCCTTGGAAATCCAACCCTGAGATTCTCCGACTCACCTCCTCCCTTCTCAATTTTAAAGCCCACTTTAAGATTTATCTCTTTGACTAGCAATCGCCCATCTTCTACCCCACCCCCCCCATCCCTCCATTTTCTCTTTTCCCCTGGATCAGGTGCCCAGCCAGCAACGTAAAGCACTTTGATTCGACGTGCAGCTGAAAGCCAAAATGGAACCTACATTTTTAAAGTATATAGGGTGCTGGAGTAAGAGGAATATTACCCCACTATCAGTACCTCCATTTCTTATCATTGGACAAGGGCTTTAAAAATATTTAATTTTTCTTATTTATTTCATATTGTTTTAATGTGGTATACGTAGTCTCAGGGGCAGGCAACAGAAAGTGCAGACCTTAATCCATGTTGGCTCTTCCAAATGTCCTGATGCATGCAAACTACTTTCATAGCCTGAAATGTTGTGAATGCTGCCTTAATATTGACTTCCATTTCATGTGTCTGATGAGCTCTTCATTACTGTAAAGTACAACAGCTTTGGACTTTAGGTAATAATAATAATAATCCTTGCATTTGATATAGCGCTTTTCACATTTTCAAGATGTCTCAAAGCGCTTCACAGAATAGACTGTAAAGTGAATTGACTGTATATTTGTAGGAGAAATGCGGCAGCCAATTGGGCACAGCAGTGTCCCACGAACAGGCATGGATTTTTATCATTTTTTTGGGGAGAGATTATTATCAGGTGTGTGGAGTAAGGAAACTTGCCCCAGGTTTCACCCTGCCGGGAATCAAACCCAGGTCTCTCGCTTGCAAAGCGAGTGCTCTAACCACTGAAACACAGAACTCCACAAAATGCATTCTTATGCTGGAAGACTTTCCGAGGCTGCTGGTGACGAGAATTTGTTCAGTTTCCTTTGTGGGGTATCCAGTTGCCAGCTGGTTCTAAGTCATGATGACTGACAACTTTTCTTCAGACTAACTCAAAAATAGTAATGAGCGCATCTGATGGTAGTTTTATGTGCTTGATGCTCCAGAGGTGAAATGCAATCCCAAATAGGAAGCTGGGTGATAACCACTACCAAAAGCTTTATCACCACTCTGTTTCTATGGCAGTGATGGAAACTGTCTACCATAATATAATTGTGTACCTATGCATTATATAAGAGGAACTAGATAATGTAGCTCTTGTGTCAAGTGGAGTCCTGTAGCTCAGTGGTTAGAGCACTCGCCTTGCAAGCGAGACACCTGGGTTCAATTCCAGGCAGGGCAAAACCTTGAGCAAGTTTCCTTACTCCACACGCCTAATAATAGTCCCTCTAAAACAAAATGATAATAAATTGGTCATTTTCAATCCACGACTGTTTGTGGGACACTGCTGTGCGCAACTGGCTACCGCGTTCGCCCAAAAATTTACAGTCAATTCACTTTACAGCATATTCTGTGAAGCGCTTTGAGACATCGAGAAGACGTGAAAAGCGCTATATCAAAATGCAAGGATTATTATATATATAAGTGACTCTTGTGACACACTATCAGTTAGAACAATCTGTTCAGTGAACTGGAATCATTATCAAGAGTAAATAAGTAAATAAATTTTGAATCACGTTTATCTTAATGTTTTTCCTCATAAGTGGAATCATAATTTATAAGGGTTTTTTAAATACTGTATTACTGTATTCATATTTACAGTATATTCTGTGAAGCTCTTTGAGACATCTCGAAGACATGATAAGGCGTTATATCAAATGCTAGGAGTATTATTGTTATTACTGTAGGTGGAAGTAATTAACTGTTTACTTGTGATTAATGACACACTTCACCTTTATGGACATTCATTAACTTTTTTTTCTTCTGCTTATTGTAGGTACAAGAGATATTGGCAGACTATGACCCCAATTTTTTCCCAATAAGTCTAGATGAGGCCTATCTGGACATAACAGAACATTTAGAACAAAGGCAGAACTGGCCTGAACACAAGCGAACATATTACTGTCATAGTGAAAGTGATACACAAGGTAATACTGCAGTTTTCTATGAAACGGAATGACTATACTTTTGTAGGCAAACTCTTCTTTTTTATTTAGAGTATTGTTGAAATATAATAATATATTTTTATAATTATTTATTATTATAATAATAACCCTTGCATTTGATATTGCGCCTTATCATGTCTTTGAGATGTCTCAAAGTGCTTCACAGAATATATTGTAAAGTGAATTGACGGTACGTCTTTGGGGAGAAACGGCAATTGCGCACAGCAGTGTCCTACAAACAGTCAAGCATTGAGTGACCAAATATGTATTTATTTTGATTATTTTTTGAGGCATTATTACCCCCGGAAAAGCGATCCATCAATCAACTAACAATCAGGTTCCTACTTACTGCTAGGTAAACAGAGGCATGTGGAGTAAGGAAACTTGCCTGACTTTTCGACCTGCCCGGGAATTGAACCAAGGTCTTTTCGCTTGCGAGGCGAGTTCTCTAACCACTACACTACAGGACTCCAATCTAATTCTTTTTATTGAAGAATCAGTAACATTATTAAATAGAATGACCAAGTTGGAGGCATGTTTGATACACTTTTCTGATTTTTTTTTTACTTTGTCTCACCTATCTTAATGAACAGTATTTTGCTGAGGTTTTGATTTAATTCTGAACGGTTACATCAGAGCCATTCATGTAGTTCAAATGGCATGCATTCAGGGCATAGTGTAATTTTACAGTACTGTATATTATAAAACTTTCATTCTGACATCTATTTAAATATTGATATAGAGGAAGAAAGCCCGGGTGATTTGCAACCGTCCTTTGAAGATTTGGAAGGCATCTCACCAGTACTCTTTGAAGACAGCCCCCCTGTGTTGCAGCAGGGAGACTCAGTACATTGTGAAAATCAGCAGGAAGGTTGCTGTATTGAAGGCAGCAAAAAGGAGTCAAATAAGCAGCAGAAAGAAAAAATCGTTTTTGGAGTTTCGGTGGAAGAAACTGTCCGAGAAATGCGCTTCAGGATTGAGCAGAAAACTAAATTAACAGCAAGTGCAGGCAAGAACCTGTTAGTGTATGAGTTAGAGGCAGACTATTCATTTTAAGAAGCTTGATTTATGATCATTTAACAATCTAATTTGAATAACCCTGATGGTGTAAGCAGGGTGGTCCAAAGTTTTGGCTGTTGACGTCTGGATGCCGTATTTGAAAATATTACTTATGCGGTCTGTGGGCAGCATAAGTAATATTTTTGTGTTTCCCTTCCAGAAACGTAACATAACAATATGGGTTATATGGAGGGAGTGGGTGGGCCAGATGAAATGTTGGGGAGGGGATGGGCTGGATGAAATCGGCCCTCAGGCCGGATGCGGACCTAGGCTGCCAGTTGGATAACTGGTGTAAGGAATAGAGCTGTACGGATAGGAGTTTGCTGGTTCAAATCCTGGTCTGTTGCGTTTTCTGGCCTCTGCATGGTAAGGCTAAAATGTCCCCAAGCTTCCCAGGGTTAAGGAAGAGAAAACCAGTTGGTTATTGTTACTGGTCCCTTTACAGAATTTTCACAATGCTGTATAGGGACTGAGGCTTGGCTGTGACACCCTTTACTTTTGAGTGGCCTGCTAACATGCAAGCGTGAACATAGGCCACTTGAGCAAAGTACCCAAGAGTAACCAGCGTCTGTGGAACCGATCAGTTGGGGTGGGATGGAATTAGGGAAAAAAAATAAACGAAACGGTTTTAAGAATGTATATCATCTTGTTACTACATTTTCTTTTTCATTCTGCTGAAATAATAAATTGGTATGAATTTAGTCCCATCACACTAAGCTTCAAGCATATTAAAAGAGAAGTAAGGGATACATTTTGTTCTTGCTTTTAACATTTATTTTTGCATCATTAAAATTGTTTGATTGAAATTATCCAATTCTGTTCTTTCCTGTTTTCAGAGCATTTGTTCTAATTTATGTTGATTCCATGGTGTGATGAAACTATCTGAGGGGGAAACTAAGTATCTAAGCTTACAATGGCATTGATCTTTTTTAAAAAGCATTTGGGGATTTTATTTAATCTTATGAATGCGAATCCATTCTTGACAAAATGGAAGAATTTGCATTTGAAATGATTTTGTTCAATTTTAATAACCCACTGGCATACAATACCATTTACATTTATGCTTCACTTCAGGAGGATGTCTCAAAGCGCAGTTGGTAGGCACCTGGTTGGGGGGAAGGAAAAAAGCACAGTTGAAGAGGTAATTCTTAAATCAGGATTTAAAAGTGGGGAGAAGCAGAGATCATCCGTAAAATGTAAAGAATGTTGGATCTGTAGTGAGATTGAGTCGATCACAATGGGTTAGGCCTTTTCTTCCTGCTAAGTAGTTTTCTTTTTGACATAGCAGTAACCAAAGAGAGCTGGACTTACAAAACCTGATTTGTATTTTTGTTTCTCTACTTGATATTTCTAGGAATTGCACCAAATACAATGTTGTCCAAAGTATGCAGTGACATGAAGAAACCTAACGGCCAGTATCGAATTCCATTTGACAGTGAAGCTGTGATGGGCTTCATCAAGAACTTACCTATTAGAAAGGTAATCCAGAAATTGCATTAGTGTTTCAGATTTTGTTATTCGCTTCATGCCATGAATAGTTCAAGCCAACAACAGGAAAAGTTTGAGCAATTGGTTTCTTTCTTTAATTTCAGTCATTGTTGCAGGTTAACATGACCTCCATTCAACAATAGTTATTTTCATCCTGTACTTAATAGGAGTTTCTGAGTCCTGCCTAACTTCCTTGGAATTCACATTCTCAATGACTGTTTTTAAAGGTCTAATGGCCCTTTTTAATGACTGATTGTTGCAATTATAGACATAATTTTACAGATTTTTATCGGATTATTCTGTTGGGTTACCCCTATACTTTTGTTTACCAACCCAATTTTCTTCATCTACTGTCTTGACACCTGGAGCTAAGACGGCACCATGTCTACTTCAAAATTGGCAATACCTGCTTATAAACCTTCACCAGGACATGTAAGAGACTCACCAGCCATGACTCTTCCCTCCCAATTTTACCCCTCCCCCAAGATCGGGAAACAGCAGAGCCTCTCCAGGCTTCATGAAGAACACAGCTTCCTATGGGGTGTTTTCCTACTCAATATGATCCTTGCATTTGATATAGCGCTTTTCACGTCGGGAGGACGTCCCAAAGTGCTTCACAGAACACACTGTAAAGTGAATTGACTGTATATTTGTGGGTGAATATAGTTCAGATTGAATATAGTTCAGATTGAGAACTAAGTGGTTTCAATTTTCGTTAACCATAACAAATTACATTTGTATAGCGCCTTTCACGTCAGGAGGATGTTCTAAGGCGCTGGACAGTCAGGGACCCACACCTGAGCTGCTGTTTGGGATCAGGAGGGGTGGAGGGCAGGAGGATAGGGTAGAAGGGTGACCGAAGACAAGGTTGAAGAGGAGGGTCTTGAGACGGGTCTTGAAGGAGGCAATTCAGTGATTTTCATACGGTATTTAGCGCTTTGGGACATCCTCCCGACGTGAAAGGCGCTCTATAAATTGAATCTTCTTGTTGTTTGGGTTAAACTTTTCACTTGTGCGCTTTTTTTTACAACAACAACAAGATTCCATTTATAAAGCTTTTACCAGTTATAAAGCTTTTACCAGTTGCTGTCAGTATATTTTTAAAACTGGAGTGGCCTAAGGGCAAGCAACTTTTTTTCCTCATTAAATGATTGGTTTCTGTTTGGGTAGAAGGATCTGATGCTGTGCTGATTTCTGTATTTTATTTGCACCTGGAAGATGCCTTTCTGAGTAGAACTGAAGTACCTCACTCAGTAGCCTATCCACCTTGACAAATTCTGCACTTTGTTATTAACTCTCAAACTAATATTTTCCGATAAGTTTAAATTTAGAGTTACAGGACATTATCTTGCATTTTGGCTCAGGACAGGTATCGGAAACAACCAACAAATAATTATCTTTAATGGCATTGTACTATTTTGAAAAAGTTTATTATTTTAGAATGGGCCTCCTATTTATCCATCTGAACAGGCAGCCAGAACCTTGGTTTAATATCTCATCTGAAGGATGGCAAAATAATGTTTCTAATAAGCCACAATCTGTGATTGTATTGTATCTGGTGGATACATAATCATTAATTTTTTTTGTAGGTACCTGGGATTGGAAAAGTGACAGAAAAGTTGCTGAATGCTCTTGGCATCACTAAATGCACTGAATTGTACCAGCAGGGGGCACTGCTTTCCCTCCTCTTCTCTGAAACTTCTTGGCATCATTTTCTAGAAATCTCACTTGGCCTGGGTGGCACACATCTTGAAAGGTAAATATGCTGATATAAGATGTATGTGAGTTCTATAATTTTAATTGTTGGCTTATAATATAAAGACACAGTTTCAAATAAAATGGCAAATCATGGTGAGTCTCACAAAATTTATCCCAGAATGTTTTTTTCTCTGCCAGTTCTTCTATCCTCTGGTTAGACATTTTGTCTTTGTTTGCTGTATTGGTAACTCACAGCTTGGGAAAGAAGCTTGAATACAAGGTGCCCAAGAAAATTCCCATTTTTTAGGTTAAAAATACCTCACTTATCTATTTGTTCCACATAAGCTCATCCCTTTAAAATGTGTTCTAGGACCTGGGTGGCCACCTTTTATCATAGACTCTGGTACTTCAGCTGCAACCTGATCCAAGGACTACACAGCTTGTCAGTGACCTGGGGATTTGAACTCAACTGATTTGGCAGGATAGCTGATAATCCTATTTGCTTTGTTTATTATTGTTTCACACTGTTTGGGGATGGCAAGCAACATGTCAACTGACATCCCTAGCTTTCTCAAGTTCCCTCTTGGCAAGTTAACCCTGCAAGCCAAAGCCCTAACAGGTAAGGTGGTCCTCGCTGGACAAGCAGCAGGAAAGTTTGCCAGACAGCAATATCAATGGCAAACGCTGTGGTTTTAGCTGGTTAGTCTCCAGCAGTACCCCAACACACACTCTGGGGTCCCCAAGCCTGGACTCTTGCTAACCTGAGACTAATAGTTTCTGGAATTAGGTAAGCAGGATGCGTCCCTCCAAGGAGAGAGTGCACATTCTATTCCAACAATCCGTCTCGGGGATTTGCATGTGTAGGTGGGATGCATGGAATTCTCAGCTTGATTTGGATATTCTTACGTGATGGGTCTCCACATGGATCAGTGTTTACCTGCCCCCCCCCCCCCCCCCCCCCCACCACACACATACACACGCACAACTCTGTTCAACACCACCTCTGTAAAGCACTCCAAGATGTTATTCTACGAAGGGTTATATAAATGGAAGCTGTTGTTTTCCAAATATTTGCCAAAGTCCCATTTTAAAGCTATTAAATTCTATTAAATTATTAAGATCAAAATATAAATTTTATTTGTTTGACTTGTTTTCTTTATGACCTTGTCTATCTTTGCTGGTCAGTGTAATCAAGCTTAATTTGCCCGCAAAATATAGTCAATTCACTTTACAATATATTCAATGAAGCACTTTTGAGAAGTCTCAAATATGTGATAAGGCGCCATATCAAATTCAATTATTATTATTAAGAACTTGATTACACTAACCAACAGACACCGATAAGCTCAAAAAGAGTATAAGTGGAGTCCTATACAGACTTCATGGGCTAAACGACAACAACAACAAATTGCATTTATATAGCACCTTTCATGTTGGGAGGATGTCTCCAGGCACTGGATAGTCAAAAGGTTTTCCCCCAAGCTGGGGGTTGGAATCAATTAGGGTGGAGGGCATCGGGAGGTGGTGATGGGAAGATGACCGTTGAAGAGGAAGGTCTTGAGACGGGCCTTGAAAGGAGGCAAGAGAGGGGGCAAGGCTGGGGGCTCCAGGATGGAATTTCATGGAAGGGCTAAGGAGAGCAGCGCAGGAGGGTGTGAGAGCTTAAAGCGCTGTAAACATTACTCAAACAACAATTTCACAATTTTTTTAAAAAATTGCAGTTAAATCAGAAAGTGATGAGATTCAAATCTTGCCTGTGTCATGTGGGTGAGGTATGGCATAGAGGCCTCTATACCATATAAAATCTAATTAAAAGGCAGAACAGGCTCAAAGGCCCGAAAGGCCTATTCCTGTTCCTATGCTTCCTCACAGGAAGGGAAGAAAAGAAAATTAGAGGGTAAACCATATCTGCCCCAAAATTTGTAGTGAAATATTTGTAATCACTTCAGATGGAGAATGGTGGATAGAAAGAAAAATGGCAAATAATTAAACAACAAAGAAAACGTAGAACGTTTACAGCACGGAAACTGACCTTCGGCCCATGACTGTGTTTATCCTTGTTAAGAGACTCAAACGTGTTGTTAATACACATTGTAACCCAGTCTTCGAAGAAATTGTTAAACATAAATCTTGAGAAGATGAGTGCCAATTATAGGAACTCTATTAGCCGAAAAGGACAAACCTTTACCATAAAGGATATAGTAAATTTATAGTTGAAGGAATTTAAGAAAAATCCTCAAATAAATGTTGACTTTTGATGAATTAAAAATAAAGTGAAATGTGTTTCTGATATTTGTTCTTAATAATAATAATCCTTGCATTTGATATAGCGCTTTTCACGTCTTCTAGACGTCCCAAAGCGCTTCACAGAATATACTGTAAAGTGAATTGACTGTATTCTTATTCTTTTTGTAGAGATGGTGAAAGGAAGAGTATGAGCATAGAAAGGTAAGTCTTTCACACTACTACTCTGATCCAATCATTATTTTGCATATCAGTCTGTGATGACAACAATGAGTGTCAATTAAAATTTGTAGAAATCACACATACTTGAAAGTATCTTTGATCTAATAATTCAATTAGTTAATGAAAGTTTTGCACATAGCAATATCCCACAAACCCATAAAGTGAATGACCAATTTAATCTGATGGATTGTTGGCCAGGATACCAGGAGAAACTCTTTTCTCTTTTGGAATCGTGCCGTGGATCTTCAACGTCCACTCGAACAGGCTGATAGGATCTCAGTTTAATGTCTCCACCAATGCAGCCCATTCCTAGCACTGTGCTGGAATGGCAGCCTAGACTGAGTTCAAAATCCCAACATGGGGCTTGAACCCACAACCTCCTGACTCAGAGGCAAGAGTGCTACCAAGTGAGCCGACAACAAATGCAAGGATTGTTTACATGCTGGGACTTTAGAAAAAGTTGCATGATTCATATCTTGTATTTTAGGACATTCAACGAAATTTGCAAAGCAGAGGAGCAGTACAGCTTGTGCCGTGATCTTTGTAGTGACCTTGCTGAAGATCTCCACAAGAATGGACTTCGGGTATAGCTTGTCCTTGTTTACATTTGTCTTTATACCTAAAAGGTTTGAAAATGTTATAGTTAATCATTGTTGGGTAAAAATAGACCTTTCCAGGGATTTTTCAATGTTTCAGAGTTGCTTTCTTTGCATCTTAGGGAAAAACTGTTACCATAAAGCTGAAGAATGTACATTTTGATGTGAAGACAAGGGCCTGCACTGTTCCAGTGCCGGTCTCCACCGAAGAGAAGATTTTTGCTGTTGCGTATAAATTACTAAAGACTGAGATTGACAGCCTCCACCCACAGCCACTGAGATTGAGACTTATGGGTAAAGCAATAACGCACAGTAGGATATTTTTGGCAGAAAATGTGCAGTTGTGACAATTAATACATCCCTTTATTTTATGGTGTAGTTATTCATCATTAAACTAATAAAAGTTAACTATCTATTAATACAAAGTTCTTGATATAATTAAGCACAAACTAGAACCTCTCCATTTTAACCTTTCCTTTTCTGTTGGGAGACCGTTAAACTGTATACTGATTGCTCCCGTATACTGAGATTTCAGGAAAAACATGCATGAAGGTATGAATTGGATACCAGATTTAGCAATCAAATGAAAATAATCAAAAACGCTTTTGTACATAACAAAGTGTGTAAATTTCCATTGCATGAAAAGTAAAAATACAAGGGCCAATTTTTTTTATTTGCTTTGAACCTGACCTTTTCCCAACCCTGTTTTATCTGGCTTGTTGCTTTTAACATGAGCCAGTTACGAAAGCAATGAAGGTCGTAACAGGAAACTTTTTTGTGCCTTTATTAACAAAATGAAAGGATATTTGTTTTATGCTTGGCCCTCATCCATGCCGTTGTCAGCTCCAACCCTGCTCCCTTGCCTCTCCAGCTCCATTCTTGGCAAGCTCCAGACAATAATAATAATCCTTACATTTGGTATAGTGTTTTCATGTTAGGAGGACCTCCCGAAGCACTTCACAGGATTTACTATAAAAAGTGGAGTGACTGTGTTTTGTGGGCGAATACAGCAATCAATTTGCACACAGCAATGTCCCACAAGCAGCTGTGAAGTGAATGACCAAATTTATTTAGGGGATTGTTGGCCAGAACACCAGGAGAAACTCCCTTTTCTTTTTAACTAGTGGGACCTTGGGAGACCACAATTCCACAACAAAATAACAGCCGTGGGATCTTTAATGTCCACCTAAAAAGGCAGATGGTCCCTTGGTTTAATTTCTGATCCATAAGGACAGGACCTCCCAACAATCCAGCACACCCCAGCACTGAATTGGAGTGTCAACATATGGGTTCCAAGTTCGTATTGTTAAATCCACTTTAAGACTTACCGCTTCGACCTATGGTCACCTCCCCCTTCTCCCTTGCTCGGCGTCTAACCCTGCCACTCTACAGTGCTCTGAAATACTATACAATATAATATAGGATAGAAGTAGATGTTATTTTGTACTTTCTTTCCTTCACTTCAGATGATCTGTGGTTGAGGGAATCGAGAGGCTTATGGCACTGGTAACATCTTTCTTAAAATAGTAGCTTCAATGTAAATGGCCAACCTTTCCCCCTTCCTTTAGTAGTTGGACTTGTGAGGCCTCTATTTGACAGTTTTGGCTAACATTGATGTTTGGGGAACTGCTTGTGAACCCAACAAGCTCCACTACTTTCCTGCCTCTTGATACTTTGTGAAACAAAATTCCATTTGGAGGAGTACCAATGATGCTTAAAAGCCTTTCATATGCACATAAATTGTAATTTATTTTTTGTTTTAAATTTGGAATTATTTTGATTTCAATGGTAACCTTTTAAACTAAAATCTAGACTGTGATAAACTATAATGCAATATTTTTATTTCTCCCTTGTGCTCTTCAATGCAGGTATAAAGGTGTCTGGCTTTGTTCAGCAAGAAGTGAAAAGATCTTGCCAAAAATCTATCATCAATTTCTTCCATGGTGGAATACCTGAGCGTTCCCCTGAGTCTGAAAGCAAAGAGATTAAAACCCAAGTAGAAATTCCACAAACATCTGGAGCGGAGAGCTTCTTCAACAAAAAACGTGCAATGTGGCAGCAAAACAATCAGGAGGCCTTTTTCAAAAGGGTTCTTGCAAACAGGCATCAGGAAACCTGCAAAACTGCCGTAACCATGCCAGTGGGCAGTGTGGATGAAATGCAGTCTGATGGTGGACTGACTGCAGAGATGAAGATAACCAGCAATTGCCCAATATGCTTCAAAATGCAGAGTGTACCTAATCTAGAGGCGTTTAACAAGCACATCGATGAGTGCCTAAGTACAAGCATAGTGGAAGAGAATTTACCTCCTTCAGTTATAGAGATAGCAGATGAAATGATTATTTCAAAAACAAGTTCAGCATTTATGAAGGAAGGATCTGTCTTGGATAATAATTTAAGAAAGAAAAATTTGATTAATCTAAAAAGTTATCATTTAAACAAGGAGCAGAAGGGCAAGAAATGTAGCAAGAAGTCTTCAAAGATGAGTCCAAATATTATAGAAGACGTTTTAGAAACAGAAGCTGAAAACAGCAATTATTGTAGAGCATCTTTAATAGAAAGCAGCACATACTGTATTGGAGAATCTGTTCAACAGACTGATGTAACAGAGACATTAAATGATCATATAGCTTTGCCTGACTATACAGCAAAATCTTTGGAAGTCGGAAAGGACAGTAATGCATTTGAAAGGGAATTTTCAAACCACAATCTATCTTGCACTAAAGAACCTCTTAAATCTAGTAAATCAACACAGCTGGAAGAAATATACGATCAACAAAATGTTAGCTGTAACATATTAGAACACTCTTTGTCTGTACAACATAACCAATTGAGACCAAGAACTCAATATGTGGAGCAGTCAAGTCAGACGATATCTAAAATGTCAAAGAAAAAGCATTCAATCCAAGTTGGAGAAGCCACAGCCTTGGTTTGTCCAGTTTGCAATGTTGAGCAAGCAAAAACTGATCTGTCAGCATTTAACCAGCATGTTGATATATGTTTAAACCAAGGGGTTATACAGGAGCTCATTGAAAGACAAGCTCATCCATCCAACACATACAATGTTTCAAATCGGAATATCGTAGGTGAGTTTTTTTCAATTAAAATTTTCAAAATAACATATTTTGAAGTTATCTCACCAGCATTTTTGCAGACAGGTGCTTCACTAATACAGTATCAAAACTTATAAATGGTGGAATGTAGCCTATATTCTAAGAACCTCGACCCATTTGAAACATTTCTATCGCAGTTTTTTCTAGGGAAATGTGAGAACAACACCCACCCATCAATCAAGCCTGCATGGTGCTTCCGAGTTATATTTTTCAGGGAGTTGTTTTTTTGGAGGAGTTGATTCTTGTACTGTGTGAGTTTTGATACGGAGTCTAGAATAATGAGTCTTATATACTATGAGAGAGACTGAGATACTATTGGAGGGTCTGGTGTCTAATACCTGGACTGATACCTGGAAGACTGTTTGTGGAACACTGCTGTGTGCAATTGGCTGCCACGTTTTGCCTACAAAATATACAGTATATTCTGTGAAGTCCTTTGAGGTGTCTTGAAGACATGATAAGGCTCCATGTCAAATGCAAGGATTATTATTAAGGATCATTATTATGAGCCAGAGTATGACAACAATACTATATGCACTTGTGCTGACCGAGGCCCTGCACCTCACCCCTGTGGTGATCCGGGAAGAGTGTCAGGTCACCGCTCCACCTCTCCCTTGACTGCACAGTGGTTGGACTACTGAGAGAGCGGTAGGATGGGACTCACTCAATGTCAGCGAGAGGTTAGGAAATTAAACTAAGCTAGCCTTCGCCTCTACTACCACCCTAGAGTCAGTGGCAGCCTATGAGAAATTGGAGAGGGCAGTGATTTTACAGGAGAGGGGAGAATGTGCGAGTATGGAAGGTGTGAGAAAGTGAGTTAGCAAAGGAAAGAAGAGTATGAAAGGTTTGGGGAAGAGAGGAGTATAAATGGTGTGGAAAGGGGGAGGAAGAGAGTGCTCCCAATTGCTCAAACTGGAACAGGCCAATTCCCAGGAGTTGTTCTTTTTTTAAAAAAAGCCCAATTCTCTCAATTGTTTGAATACCAAATTAAATTCTTATGAATAGGTTATTCACCTGTGCGTGAAGGAACAATAGTACATGTCAATATTCTTTTCTTAGGTCTGTCGGGATTTGAGAAACCATCTTCAAACTCTATGACTCGAATAAAAAGGTGAGAAAACCCACTGTCTGTCTTTATTGATCATTTGTTCTTAAAAATCATGTAAATGTATTATAGATCTAAAATATATGTCAAGGCTGGAAATATACTTCAGATAAACAGCATCTCAAGGAGAAAGATAGATTAACATTTGGGTGTAAAGATCACAACATTAACCCATTGTTTTCTTTCAAGTGTGTTTGATCTGCTGAGCATTTGTAGAATTTTCTGATTTTATAATCTAGCCATAGTTTATGTGCCTTTAGTCGAGCTATATATTGGTATTTATCATTTTTGTTGAACATGGATAATTTGGATAAATGCAATCTCAAAACATTTTGGCAGAACTCCAGCATCTTTTTTTTAATGCAAAAGATGTATGGGTTTTGTGGGGCATTTTTTGTGTATTTGGTTCTTGTGCTAGTTAATAAACTTGTTCAAGTTTATTTGACACAGTACCACATAAGATATTAATAAAAAAATTAGAGGCCCATGGTATTAAGGGGGGACTGTGGCAGTTTGGATTAAGAACTGCTGAGTGACAGAAAGCAGAGGGTGGTGGTTAATGGGTGTTTCTCGAAATGGAAGGAGGTGTGCAGCGGTGTCCCCCAGGGATTGGTATTGGGACCACTGCTCTTTCTAATGTATATTAATGATCTGGATTTGGGCATAGGGAGCACCCATTTCCAAGTTTGCAAATGATACAAAGTTAGGAAGAGTAGTAAATAGTGAGGAGGACTGTAACCAACTGCAAGCAGACATATACAAAATGGTGGAATGGGCTGACATGTGGCAGATGGATTTCAATGTGGATAAGTGTGAGGTGATACACTTAGGAAAAATGATAGGCGGCAATATAGACTTGGTAGCTCAATCTTAAGGGGGGTGAATGTACAGAGAGATCTGGGCGTTCAAGTAAGCGAATCATTAAAGGTAGCGGGACAGGTAGATAAGGCAGTAAAAAAGGCATTTGGTGTACTGAACTTTATTAGTAGGGGCATAGAGTATAAAAGTAGGGAGCTTATGGTTAATCTGTACAAAACACTGGTTAGGCCTCAGCTGGAGTACTGCGTCCAGTTCTGGGCATCTTACTTCAGGAAGGACATTAAGGCACTAGAAAGGGTGCAAAGGAGATTCACGAGAATGATACCAGGAATGGGGAACCTTAGCTATGAGGACAGGCTGGAGAAGTTAGGACTTTTCCCATTAGAGCAGAGAAGGTTACGCAGGGACCTGATAGAGGTCTTCAAGATCATGAAAGGTTTCGACAGGCTAGATAAGGAAAAGCTGTTTCCGCTGGTAGGTGTGTCTGTGACCTGTGGTCACAGTCTTAAGATATCTACCAAAAGAAGCAGAGGGAAGGTTAGAAGAATTTTTTTCACTCAGCGAGTTGTTCGAATTTGTAATGATCTGCCTGAAAGGGTAGTGAAGTCCGATTCGATAACAGCTTTTAAGAGAGAACTGGATAGGTATCTGGAGAAGACGGATTTGCAGGGTTATGGGGAGAAAGCTGGTGATTGGGGTTAGTGAAAGTGACTTGCTCTGTCAAAGAGCCGGCACAGACTCGATGGGCCGAATGGCCTCCTTCTGTGCCGTAACATTCTATGAATCTATGAATAACTACCTTCTAGGTGGGATTCCTCTCAAGATAGTTAACAAGAAAGGAAATGCAAAGATGGTATAGTACATTGATCACATCCTTAGAATCAAATCAGCATGAGGCAGCCACTACCTGGGCTAACTGAGTGCTGGGATGCATAGCACCAGCAATAGATTATGAATCTGATTCTATTTTTAAATTATACCATGGACTCACATATCCACAGATGAAGAGGAACTGGAGAAGCTGCAAGGAAAGGGCCATCAGAGTGAAACTATCTCTTATAGGACAACTCTACAATCAGAGGCTCAAGGAATTGGGCTTATTTACAGGTTGGGCCGATCGTGGAGGTGACATAATGGCAGACGACAAAGTCTTGCAGTGAACACGTGTTATAGCACTGGAGATCGTGCTTTCAAACTGGGGAAAATCACTTCAGGCTGGACATGAGGCAGCACGTCTTTGTGCAGAGATGGGGAAATCTGGAACAACCTCCCATGATACATTGTTTGCCAAATAGCATCTGTTCCTTTGAGTTGAAATCTAGACAGATTTCTTAAAGAAGAGAGGCTACAGACTGGAAATCCAATCTTTCCTTTGACGGCATTAGTGGTCTAACAGGCTATCGGGATATTAAGCACCAAGTGGCCAGTACCAGAAAAGAAATGTAGGTGAATAAATAATTTTGCTGCGCTCCAAATGCAGGCTATTTTCTTTTCTCTATATGGTTAGCATGCAATCTGTTCCTAACTCCTAGCACTACACTGGAAACTAGACAAGAAAAACAAAAGTTGATTCACTCGGATTTTTATATCTTTCCTCCCACCTTCTACAGTCTTTGGCTCTTGAATTCACCAAAGAGAAATTTTTAAAAAGACTATTCTTGGCTCCATGGGGTTAGGCCCTGGCCTTTGCAGGATTAAGGAGGGGGAAAACCAGCCAAGGGTACCTGCTCCTGGCCCTAATACAGCGCCTTTTACTGGTGGCATATTTGTGTGGCAATGGGTGAGGAGAGGTCATGCTTGACTATAACACAGTCTATAGTCGAGTTGCTTTCCGACAGTTACCTTGCCTTCCAGTATGAGGTATAATAGGCGTATGCTGATGGAGAGACCAAGTAGAAAAACAATTTGATTTCGTTCACATGCCATTTGTGTCATTACACATTTTAATGATTGAGACCAGCTTGTGTATGTTGGCTTCAAAATCAACAGTGATGTTTTATGCAATGCAGTTCATGGTATTTTGATGATCAACTCCATATTTTAATCATACCATTCTTATATTCTGCAAAATTTACACCTGTTATTATATAGGTATCCAAATATAATATTAATGAGGAACATCTGTCTACTTAATCTTCACTGCTTTCATTACTTGGAAATACATTTATTTGTTTTACATTGTTTTCAGGATGGGATCATCAGCTCAGAAACCAGCATCGAAAAAAGCAAGATTCAACAATTCTAAGCTTACTATCGACAATTTTTTTAAATAGAATTAAGTTTGAAAACATTGTGTACTGGAATAAAGAATTTTGGAAAATCTCTGAATTTCAGGGTTGCAGAAACATACAGCATAGCATTTGTTGTAAAGCACTTTCCTTTTTTATATTTAATATTGGTATGTTCTACTCAATTATGATTTTGTCAGTTATACAGCTGTCTGGATCTCTTAAAAGGTATATTTTAGATTTAATGTTGTAAATTAATTACTGGTAATGGATATAAATTATTTTTAATACATTTGATATAGCAGGAACCATGATGTAATTTTCCAGGAACAGTGCCCAGTTCTGAAATCAATAAATTATTGTAGAGTACTTAATCACAATAAAAGATCTAAACCTGATGCTTTAATTTCTAGGACTATACAGGGGAACCTTGTTAGAAGTTAAACCTCCAAGTCTAATGTAAGCTAAAAACAATGGCCAACTTCTAGGTCATTAAGTTGTCGCTGATGTTACTTGCTGTGGGGGGGTTTATTTCAATGCACACTGTACATGTGCACCACTGTCAGCAGCACTGCTCTGCACGGCGCACAGGTCAGAACACTGATTGACCAGCGCCTTGGGATATCCTCCCGACGTGAAAGGCACTATACAAATGTAATTCTGTTGTCTCATCAGCACCACTTCCATGCAGGAAGGGATGTCAGTGGCAACTTGATGACAAAGAAGTTAGCCTTTTTTAAAGCCAATGCAGGAAGTTAGCTAGTCAGCGGTTGGGTGTACCACACTTATGGTTTCACAGAACACTGGACTATACTAGGGGTTTGCCATTACAGGATTCCCCTGGGAAACAGTTATTTTTTTAATATACATTTGTACAGGAGATTTACCTGCCTGAGGTGTACCTGTCTTAATTTAGGGAAATACTTGTACAGTTGTAAGCAGCTGTTATATTATTCTGAAACAAAACTATCTTTCTGGTGGGGGAGTGGGACCAGAAAAAGGTTATGATTCAGTGGGACCAGAAAAAGCTCACTGTGGAGCTTTTTCTGGTCCCACTCAATGGTCCAACCATTATATGTTTATCTATGTTGATGAATCCTTCGTCAATTTGCTTTTAACTGGTCCATTTATTATTTAATCTTCTTTATATATGTCATCTGGCAAGATAGCACAACCTCATAAGAAAATGTTCTACTGAGTAACTGCCAAATCATAATAAATAATGTGAACACTTGTCCAAAGGATTTGACAAAGATAATTATATAATTTTGCTAACATTTTCAATGTTTGCCAGCTGCTGATGTAATGAATTACTACATTGGTACCCAATAACTTTGCATGTTACCTTTTCTTATATCACATATAGTCAGTTAATGTAACTGTTACATTATATTTATACTCTGACATTGTATTCGAAAGTTTATGCGACATGTTGATATGCAGAAAATGCTATACTATGCACGTGGTTTTAAAATAAAAGCCTTTTTGAAATTTAAGTAGTAAACAATAACTTCTTGCAATTAATATTGTATAGTGCCTTTCATGTTTGATGTTTCAAAGAACTTCATGGAGATGGAGAGGGAGCCTGAGCAGGAAGGGAGATAAGGGGGTAGAGGTAAGAGGGAAATGATTGGAGGTGCAATCAAAGAATGAGAATTTTAAAAGGATGGATGAATCTGCAAAATAAGCAGTAACCTCAGGAAGCTTGATACACACTTATTTCATTGATGAGTCAACGGAGCACAATGTTGTGTATATAATGTCAACTGAAAGCATTTTTCCACTGTCTTGTAATGATGAATAACAGTTTAATTAGTTGCGTAGATTATAGATACCTATGGGTGCACACAGAGAGGAACAAGTAGTTTGTAATTTGTTATTCATTGCAGAGGCTGACTTGAGCTGCAGCCTATGAATAGAAAGCAGGTCATATCTTCCTGGAAAAATGTTATTTTTTTTCCATATTATTACTGATATTATTCCACTCAGCCTACTATTACTTGGTTCTCTGAGAGATGCAATTGTTTCTGTGCTGCAGAGGTCAGGGAGGAATGCAAAGCAATACGAGACATTATTTTGCATGACGGGTGCTATACAAAACCAAGTTGTTTTCTGAAGGAATGTAGATGTTGAATCTCAACCTATGGGCACCTCAATAATAAGGGCAAATGATTAAACCACATTTTACTCTCATAATCCTTGTCTTTGATCTTGCTATAGCACCTTTTATTGTGGAGACATCCATTTGATGTAGCACCTTATTACATCTACAAGCCATATCAAAACACTTCACAGGATATACTGTAAAGTGGACTGACTATTTTGTGGGTGAACGCAGGCACTAGTTTGCGCACAGCAATGTTCCACAAACAGCCATGAGTGGGTGACCAATTTTATTTGGGGGAATGTTGGCCAGGACACTGGAAGGAACTACCTTTTCGAAGAATACCATGGGATCTTTAATGTCCACCTGAACAAGCAGACGGGACCTCGATTTAACATCTCATCTGAAGGACGGCACCTCTTACAATCCAATGCACACTGTAAAGCAGTGACTGTGTATTTTGCAAAACCATGATATCCAAATTCAATAATAAGGACTAATATTGTAAAATAAATCAGTTTTGACCTTTCTTAATAGCAACTTTCTACCATAGATGATGAATAGTCTAATTTTTTTATTGAATATCTTTGGGGTCAGGGAGTTTATGCAATATTGTGGAGATGAAAATAACGAGTGAAGACAATAGTAAGATAGGTTTTATGTTTTTAGAAGTTGTATTGATGGGATGAATAACCTTTTCTTCTTCCATATTTAATTATGTCTAACCTATTCAACAAAAAAATTCCTTTTTAGTGAACACTGCTACCTTCTACTTTGAATACCGTTAAAGTTATTGCTAAATTCAACTCTGTCAAGCACAGTAGTGTTAGGAACTAACTTCCTTTTTAAAACCCCCCACCAGATCTCTGACCGAGCTTCTTCCTGCAAACTGGTGCTCGACATCCCCCAGCCTTACTTCTGTAACTTTTTACTTGGATTCTGATATGATGGATGTTGGTTGTTCATTGCCTATGTGTTAGATAAGCTAGGGTTCTTCAATCTTGAAATATGTCTCAGAATGTACTGTATAGACATATATGAGATTTAAAAAGGGATTGAGAAAATAATTTTGTTTGTTTATTTAGTCAGCCGGGTGTCTGACACATGCGGAAACTATCACCATTCTTAAGAGTATCCAAACCATACTGAGAATTCCATGCATCCCACCTAAACATGGAAAATCCAGAGATAGATTGATGGAATGGAATGCGCACTCTCCCTGGATGCATCATGCTTAGCCAATTCCGGGAAGGATTATGTGTAGTTTGGCAAGAGCCAAGGCTTAGGGGCCCCAGAGTGTGCGTTGGGGTACTTAAATAAAATCAGAACAGTATCTGATGCACTGAAACAGCAGAACAAAAGGTTTTGGTTTGCAAAGGGAACAAAAGGTTTCAGTTTGCAAAGGGAACAAAAGGTTTCAGTTTGCAAAGGGTAAAGTAGTTGAGAGGAACTACTTTATGCAGATGATAATCAATGACTGGAACAGGAGCCAGACACTGCAATCATTAAATAAAACATCTTGATATTGTGATGGGAAGACAGGTAGAGTGGGTTTTCTGGAAGGTTCAGATCAGATGGGAAGTAGGGTCCCTCTCCTGATATTGTGAGGTCTCCCAATATAAAACAATCTTGCCATCGCTCATCAGGATCTTTATAGCTATTGAAAACTAAATGAAATATTATGATAAATGTAAATGAAAATTCACATTAAAGGTGAAGGCATGTATGCCTGTTAAACCTCTGATAGTTCAAGAACATATCAGTGATTTGTGATTACCACTGGGTGACTTTCAGCTTTTACTAAAAACTGGGTTGAGAATATTCCCTTGGTTCCTGAATCATGGTCAGATAGTTTTGAGTACTCTTGAACTACAGTTAACAGTTGGAGATCTAATAGAGAGAACTACTGTGGAATAGCCCCGGTGACTGGAAGGCCTCCCCTTGCAAGTTTAGAAAGAAAAGCCGCACCCACGACAATAAATCATTTCTTCTGCGCTTCACAACCTAGTCTAACAGGTTTCACAGTTGACGTAAATTGAGGTGAGGATGCAATCTGAACTGAAGGTCTGAGGAGTGGCAGAGTTACAGGCAGGCACAATCCAGCACTGAGGGATCTAACTCAAAATCTGAACAAGTTTCTTTTATTTAAAATATAAGAGCTACCTCAAAAACTAGATTTCTTAAACTGCAGGCTGTTTGGATTGTGTGATCTTATAAAGTGCGATTGAAAATATGGACGAACTGACTAAAGCTTTCACCAAAGTCTCCAACAAGGATGAATCGTCCCATATGGAGATTCGTAAGTAGAGATACATCCGAGTACTACAAAAAAAAGATACACAAGACTGGCTGAAGTGTTGAATTACAATAGGCAGGGAATGTGAGTTAAGATAGTTGAAACAATCACTTTAAGCTATAACTAGGTTGATCTAAAATGCACACACACTGTACATATTTGTTTTTCACAGATCACTTTGAATAATGCTGAGCTTTCTAAACTGAAGGCTAGTTTGATCAGTCACACAACTTTTTTGATTAATTCTTGTTTTTGATATGTTTTTGTATTTTGTATGTTACACTCAGTTACACTCAGTCAATTCACTTTACAATATATTCTGTGAAGCGCTTTGGGATGTCTCGAAGATGTGATAAGGTATATCAAATTCAAAGATTATTATTAATATCATACTTATTTTCTTACTATTTTTATTAAATTTGTGTTGCAGTTTGATTTGGGAGTCAGAGCAAGGTTAATTTGTTGTATTTCATAACTGTTGATTTGTAGATGTAGCATTCCTCCCAAACTGATCAATTAAGCCAGAGTCACCCAGCCACCTATAGCAATAGAGACCTTCCTGCCAGCTTGGAAGGACACTCACCAAATTAGAGGTTTTTTTTTCATGGATTTGCAATCTTGTTTTCCAAAGCTCAGAAATTTTTTAACATTAACGGAAATAACTCAGGCAATAGAGAGGGTGCTTTTACTCTGTTTCAATAATACTCTATTTGCACATCAGCATATGCGTTGTATCTAATAAATTAAATAAAGGGAATATCAAGATGTAAACCCTGGCCCAGTCCTACAATTTGAATGCCAGAATCACAGTACGGTTTTAGGGATGTTGTAGAAAGAAGATTGAAAGCTCACCAAGGACGTATTGAAATCAGACCCGGTGTACTGCCTCCTGACTGGATCCAAACATGAGTAGCTCTACACCACAGCCATATGGGCATCCCATTGAACAATGGCAGCGCCCTGTGATTGGCCTCAAGGCCTTGGGATCTGGTCTGCCAATTTGAGGTGGACTGCGGCCATCCTCAGCAGATCTTAGAAATAAATATCAAAAATGGTTATCAAAAATATTATTTATCAAAATAAGCTGCTCTAGGGGCTACAGTTTACAATACTACCCCCCATCACTTCAAAATGAAGTCAAAGATAGCAGCAATCTTGTCTGGAAGAAGAATCCACCAGTTTATTTTCACCAGCAGGAATTAAGACAAAAAATGCTTAAAATATTGCAAAATGTAGCCAATATTCATGGTGACTACTCTTGCTGTAAACTATAACTTCAAAATGTGCCTAGGAAGACTACAATAATAAGAGTGGAGTAATTGAATATTTAACTGCCAATACATTTTTTAACTGGCATCATAAATCATGTTTGTTCATCCAATAGTAAATGTCAAATAAAGTAGAAAATGGTTGAAGTGGTGAATAAGTATCTGAAAGAGAAAAACAGTTCAATGTTTTGGATGCGATCCTTTAGCAAAAGTGACTGGTTAACTAGCTGTACATTTCTAGCCTTCTTGTTTTCATTTTTCTCTGAGTAAACATCAATTTTGTTTTATACATAGATGACATTGTGGTTCAGAAATGAAGCAGTCTGCACCATTATACTGTAATGTCTAATGCACTGAGCCATTCTCCCAGTAATTCTTTGAGAGCTTTCCATGGTGTCACTTCATAAATGATCCAGGTTTTCAAAAGTTAAAGTTTACACTAATGGCTACGATTCAGAATAAAGGCTATAGCTTTGCTGAGGGCATGAAATGTACATGCACAGATAGTCTATGTAGATTTTGTGTTGGTTTATATCACTGAGAGAAAGAAAAAAACTGGGCTTAACTCATTTCCCTTCTCATTCATTCACATGTTCCTTAGATCTTAATGCTGAATGCTACACTTGCTATGGTTAAATATTTTGTAGAATGTTGTATCTAGGATTATTATTAACTATGGCAAAATAAGTATTAAATACATAGTGATGAGAGCACTTGCCTTGAAAACGAGAGGACCCGGGTTTGATTCCCAGGTAGGGCGAAACCTTAGGCAAGTTCCCTTACTCCACCAAGCAGTAAGTGAGAACGCTTGTAAGTGGATTGTTTTCTGTGGGTAATAATCTCTCTAAGATAAAAAAAATTTGGTCACTCAATCCACGACTGTTTGTGGGACACTGCAGTGTGCAATTGGCTTCCATGTTTCACTCACAAAATACACAGTCAATCCACTTTACAATATATTCTGTGAAGCACATTGAGACGTTTCAATAAAGTGATAGGGTGCCATATGAAATGCAAATATTATTATTATATTTTTCCATCAGGTGCAAACAACAACACCAAAATTACATTTGTAATTTGCCTTTCACGTCAGGAAGCTGTCCAAGGCGCTGACATAATTAAAATAGAAATTTCCACTTTACACGTCTTGCATCAGTCAGTTCTGTGTCCCATGGCTGCCTTTAGTTCTCGTCCTGTTCTGCAATATTCAGCAGTTCCTAGTTTATCAGAATATAATTTTCAAAAACATGCTTTTTTGACAGTCCTGTCACTGCTCCAGTTATTCACAGTGCTGGCTTGTTTGTGTGCTGCATGATTTGAGCCTGTTTTCACGAAAGCTTGAGTGTTCATGTTTTGCATGGATTCCATCCACCCTGAGGAGATTTAAAAGCAGATCTGCTCCATTCATTTAAGAAAATGGAAGCTCCTCTCATCCCATCAGTCCCAATTCAAATCTGTCACAGCCTACAAAACCCCTACAAAACATAGATTTCAGTCCATCCACTTTATCTTCTGCATGGAAGTATTATAAATAAGTATTTCCTGAACTTCAAAGATTCAAGCAATATATTTTAAAATATTAACTCAAAAATATTCATCCTTCCCCTCATCACCACTAGTCAACCCTGGTCTTCCCTCCACTTTCAACACCATAAGATGAGCCTTGCGTTGTTACATGCCCTGTACTGAAATATTGAAATGTCTCAGAGCAATTCATGGATTTGCTGTAAAGTGCACTGCTCATGTATGTATTGGCAAATACAGCAATCAACTCACACAAGATCCTAAGAGGATAAGGATGAATAAGGTAATTTGGCCCATTTGATCTCATTCTTCAAAAAAAAATCCTACCATTACAGCCTTAAGCATTTTCTTAAAAAAATCTGGTCTCTACCTCCACTCCTAACATAGTAACTCAAAGTTACTCTAATTCACTCAAATACTGTGGAGCAGTTGTTCATCTTAGTCCCCCATATTTGGTACTGATAGCACTGTACAGTCTTTTCTCCTTTCATTGTTTGCATGGCTATGACTAATATCTCTGCAGTTGGCAACGTTGACATTGAGATGCAGAAGTGCTGGGCAGGACTTTCTTGAAGAATACAAAATCAAAAGGTAGTGCAGGTGGAGCCCCATGAGGAATCCATCAGAGTGTGATTACACTGGCGTTTGTTTCCACATTTGTCCAACTCTCCTAAGGAGGGGCAATGAGGCAGCTTGAGCCAATTATTCCTGTACGCTTCACAGCAATCATTTCCTTGTAGATGTTTGGGGAAGGATGAAAATAGTATAAACTACTGTTAAAAAATATGACAACCTAACCGAATGTTACTTGCTGCTAAAGTTGGGGTTAAGTAGTAACCAATGTTTCCTTTGTTTCCTATTTATGAAATTGATAAAAAATAACTTATAGCACCATCAGAGGACAACATTTTCCTTGTTCGTGCTCTTATCAACCACTCTCTGATGATTTGGAATGTAACTAATAACCATGTTTATATCCAGAAATCACTGAAGCCCCCTAACCAGCAAAGGATTACATTGAAATGTATCCTCTTCTAATCATTTGGGTGTGTGACATTCACAATGAATGTGGAGAAAGCTTAAGTGTTGTATCCTTAATCAGCCCATTACCTTTTATTATTGATAAACTTGTGTGGAAGCCCAGTAATGTGTTCAAGTTGATGAGGTAACTTTCCTAATTGAGTGCTGCATTGTAGAGACTATTTATTCTGTGCTTCTAACACTTGGGAAGACAAGACTAATACTCAAGAGTCTAACAATGAAGTACCTTTTCTATACCGTGTTCTGAATCAATCCATCTGAATATACTGATTGTTTTTTGTGCATCTAAATGTCAATGCTGCAGATACGTAATCATAACCATCCGAATCAATGAAACAGAAAACACATGAACAGAACTCTAGACAGTAAATTATGGTAAAGTTGATAATCTAGAAGAATGAGATCAAAGAGGGCAGATAGGCCTTCTTTTTCCAAAGCTTTCTTGTGATTTTGTGAGCACCTGTCCAAACAGCTGGGAAGTTGATTCCTTTTTCCAAGCCAACTGAGCATTTGTTTGTGAATCTAACTAATAATGAGGCACATTATGTTCACTTCAGCTAAATGGAAGATGGTCTGTGGTTGAATAATAATGATTCATTTCTTCAGATATATTGAGGTTGGAAGAGAAAGAGTGCTTCTTAGGAAAGTGGTAGAGTTACTGGCAGTTCACTGCTGGAAAATTCATCTCACAACATAAAATGTGTTTGCTTCAGTTACACCAATGAACAAGAGCTTGGCTTCAGTAATTGTATTGCTTTCCTGTTTGGGCACAATCCATTTCCATTTGAGGTTCAATTAATGCTGCTCATAAAGAGAAATGGGCTACAATGGAGGAGAAGGGAGGGATTTCCATAGCTGTAAATTGAACAGTGGATTAAAACTGTGGGTTAATTGGTCACACTCTGCACGGCTATTTGTGGAATCTTGCTGCTCAAATAGCTGCAGCATTAGCTACGATATATAGAATAATCATGTGGAAAACACTTAGAGACAGTGATAAGATGCTATAAAAAAGTTATTTTTCCTTCTAAAGAAAAATGCAGAAAAATATGAACACATTATAAACCACACATTGAAAACTATAGCTGTTCAAATTTGTTTCTGCCATTTGTTCTTAAGTGCAATTGCAAATAAATATAAGATAATGAATAATAAACTTGTGCAGAAGTGCACAATTTTTGTACTGCCACTTTCATTTGCTGCTTTGCCATTTGCTGGTCAGATGATTTAATAATAATAATAATCCTTGCATTTGATATAGTGCCTTATCACATCTTCTAGACGTCTCAAAGCACTTCACAGAATATACTGTAAAGTGAATTGATTTATTTGGTAAAAAGGAAGACCTTGACAGTTTCTAATGATTTTTATACTGCAGTTCTACCAATAGAGAAGGAGTTCCATAAAGCTGCTAAAAATAATGACGTGGATACGATGAATCATTTTTTATCTCAAAACATCCAGATTAATGCTAAAACTGAAGTAAGTAGCTCTGGTCCGACAGAGGATTAAATATGCTTTATTTCCTTTCTTTCACTGTTAATATGGCTCTAACTTCTCTGCATTTGTCCTCCAAATTTTCCTTTCTTGTTCCTCCCAAGCTATAAATAATTTGCACTTCCAGTGTGCAAATATCGCAAGCAGTTTGAATTTGTGAGATTTGAAAGCTGCCAAAGTCCATAAAAAAGTGTTTGCTTTATGGACGTCACTAGTAAACCTAGCAACTCAAACATCTTGTAATATTTAAAAATTAGCTCATTAAATCCCATTTGAGTATGATTACATCACTATATATGCCAACCAACTCACAAGTTCAAATCCTGGTCCTTGCAGAGTCTCAGATGGGGCTGGATGGAGAATATAAATTGGCCTGGACTTTCCAGGTATAGGAAGGAAAACTAGCCAGGAAACGTGCCAGTGGGAGAAAATTAGAAAAATGAATGTATGGACATACTGTTTAAAATTTTTTTTTTAAAACTCACTACGTGAGACTTCAATTCCAATTAGAGATGTAATTTGCCTAGTAGAAACACATGGTGAGCGCTTTTCCAGTGATGCGGCACAATCTATTGCTTTCCCAATAGATGAAGGTCACAATCCATGTCTGTTTGAGGATAAATTACTTTTTTCTTCTAGATTCATTTTGTCCTTTTCTGGCCTTGGTGTTGTCCTACGTGGGTGCGGTCATCCACTTGTTTATTTAAAAATTCTCTGAAATAAACTGGGAACAGAAAAGGCCATTCCTGTAATCAAACTTAATCCCATGGTTGAGTTTCTGTTCTGGATCCGATTTCCCACCATTCATTCTCTCAGTGCTCAGAGGTGCCTTGAAATTGAGATTCCTTTTATACAATAACCTTATTTTATGTTTTTACAAACTATCTTTTCTTTATATTTTTGACAGTAATCCTACCTGACATTTACAGATTTCCTGTCTATGTTTTTTACAGTAATTCTACCTTTATGTTCAGAGCTGGCTTTGTTTGGATAAATGAGGATTATTGCATTGAATGTCTACATTTATGTCCCTGCATATCTCTGTATGCTCTAACTAGCATTTCTTATGTTCGTATTGTTCTTATGATTACATGGTTGCCTGCAGCCAAATTCATGTTTTGGTATCTTGCAACAACTTCTGTTTGTTTTTTTACAATTTTAAGTTCCAATCAAATTAGACGTGTTTAACACTGTTTCTGTTTCCGAGTAGCTAAATCGCACGGCCTTGCACTTTGCTGTTGCAAACGCAAGTGAAGATGCTGTCACCTTCCTTCTCAAACACAATGCCAGGGTGGACATTAAAGATAAGGTGTGTTGAACGCTTAACCTACAAATCATTTTCACACAATTATTGTATGACAAAGTTTTATGATAGACTTGATTTTTGTGGCACCGTGGATTCCCTTTGTCTTGAAGATGTTAAATCGTTGATAATGCAATGGTTTAATTTTGTTGATGTTAAATCTTGCTGAGATATGGATCCACAGGGCCAATCACTTTCCAGTACTTCCCTCAACTGAGTGTTCTCCACGTGTGAGCTCAAGGCAGTGTTACTAGTCGTTTGTGGAGAACATCAGAGCTAAGCCTGATCGTTTCATCACCTGATGCCAACTCATGCACTCTTTCTAGCAGGAGCCAATGGGTAGTTCTGAGGGGTAGGACCCCTTTCCTCCAGCCCTATGTTAGCCACCTTGATGCTGCCACCTCTGATGTCAGTCAACTCAGCATAGGCTGGGTTTGAATTGTGCTTTAGTTGCACAATGTATTGTCTATCACCTGCACTATTGCAGGAATGGATGTATTTTTAGATATGATAGAGCGGGATTGCTTTATTATTGAATATCAGAGATTCAGCTGGAGGGCTTCCTTATATATTCTACCCCTCAAAACATTTATCTATTGGACTGAGTGGAATTCCTTAATTGAATTCCAAAGACTCTTGAGCTGTTTGCATAATAGCATAGTATGATTAATTCCACCAAACTTCACGTGTTTCCCATTTTACTTATATGGAGGTTAGAAATATAATTAAAAGTGATTAAATATGAAGTTGTGCATAATCTGCAAATAATCACAACAAAATAAAACCATATTTGCTATGTGCTGTTCTTAAACATTAATGCAGAAAGTGCTTGAGAATAATTTTCTTGGCTGTGTTTTATGTTTTTAACCTCCTTCTACATTGGCCAACAAAGTGGCTTCTGTAAACATTCCAGGATTAATAATTGACTCTAATCTCATTGCACTTAGCAGGAAAGGCAACTGTCTCAGGGCTAGCACACTCGCCGCTAAGTTCAGAAGGTTGTGGGTTCAAACCCCATATACGGATTTGGAGTTGCATCGTCTAAGGTGACACTCCAATGCAGTGTTGAGATAATAATAATAATAATAATCCTTGCATTTGATATAGCGCTTTTCACGTCGGGAGGACATGAAAAAAAAAGAGATGTGTTACATTGTTGGAGATGCCATCTTTCGGATGAGACTTTAAATCGAGGTCCCATCTGCCTGTTCAGGTGGATGTTAAAGATCTCTTGGCACTATTTGAAAAGGGAAGGGAGATTCTCCCGGTGTTCTGGCCAATAGAATAAAATTGGTCACTCACTCCCTGGCTGTTTTGGGGGCATTTCTGTGCGCAAACTGGCTACTGCATTTCTCCCATAAAATACAGTCAATCCACTTTATAGTATATCCTATGAAGTGAAGTGACATATCTGACATACTTTACATATATCAAATGCAAGGACTATTATTATATCCTCTTAGAACTATCATTTAAACATGAAGGAGATGGGGCAGCTTTATTAGTAAACTAAATGTCTGTTTTTCTCTCTGAAGCATGGAATGGATGCTCTCCTTCTGGCTGCTTGGTTTGGAAACCTGAATATTCTGAAAATGTTGGTTGAAAAAGGCTCAGATCGAAAATCCACTAATCAGGTATGTCTGATATTGGTGATAGGAAGCGGGATTCTTTGTGTTAAGGTCACTCAATTTCTGGTTAGTGAGGTGGCTGACATGGGCAGAAATCCATCACATCAGTTAGACTTCGATAAGCAGTTATGTACTATACAGTACTTTCATTTCCCTCTGAATTCTGCTCTGGAATTGCAAATAAATTTCCTTATGCTGCATGGCTCCTGTGCACAACACCATTAATAATAACAAAACACAAAATACTGCAGATGCTGGAATCTGAAACAAAAACAGAGAGAGCTGGGAAAACTCAGCAGGTCAGGCAGCATCTATGGAGAAAGGAAAGTGAGTCAACGTTTTGGGTCCACGACCCTTCGTCAGAACTGGCCCATTAATAATAGGCCAGTATTCCTCAACCTCTTTCATTGCAAGGTAATATCAAGGTGGGCAGAGGAGTAATTTGAGCGATTCAAAGAGAACAAAATGCTATTTCCTGGTTTCACTTGCCAGACTGTACATTTCCCCCTCTCTCCCCTTTGGTGAGCTCCTGGGTCAGTCGCTAATACCATGGAGGTTGTATGTCCACGCTTATACTCTAAAGCTCTGCCTCAACAGTGCTGATACTCTGTACGGTCTGAGCCATGATGGTAACCTAATGCCTATCGCTGGTTAAACTCCCAACAGCACCTCACTGCACATTCTGGGTCCCCAAGCCTTGTTTTTGAGACATCTTGACGATGTAATAAGGCACTATATCAAATGTAATAATTATTATTACATTTTGGCATTAGAAGAACAGGGTATGTCTTTGCTCTCATATTTAATAAATATCCCTGTATAGCATAAATGGTAAAGGACCTCTGATTGCTGGCTATAATCAAACTGCTTAAGTTTTGGTCCCATAGCTATTGATGTTACTTGAACAGCTTCATTGAATTACCGCCTAGTAATATACACCCACGTGTTCAGTATCCTGCATAGTATACTCTCCAGTGAAACTGTGTCCATATTGTTCTGTAGTTCTGAAATCAGAATAGCATTTCCTATTCATCAATTTGTGTTATTTCAGCTCTGCTATTAACAGCAGCTTGTATTTATAAGGTATCTCAAAGCCATTCATGATCATTGTTCTGATGTTAAAACCAGATTCTAAAACATTACAGATGCTAAACTGTGTAATTTAATCCAGGATTCAATAGTTTATAAGCCATTATGCTTTGCTCTGTTCCTTCTGATGAGATCTGAGCTCCTCCATTAGATTACAGGCTGGTGACTCACCCTGAATTCTCCATATCCCAGTGGATATGCTGTTGATTCCTTTTCAATTCTTTCATTGATGTTCTTTCAAACTCCCCCGTCAAGAGTTTGAGCTCATCGTCTAGCCTGATACTGCAGTGCATTGGTGGGGGGAGCACTGCACTGTTGGAGGTGACCTCTTTCAGATGAGATATTAAAACTGAAGTCCCATTTACCTATTTAGGTGGATGGTAACAATCCCATGGCACTATTCAAAAAGGGAAGGGAATTGTTATTGGTGTCCTGGTCAACAATCCTCCAGATAAAATTGGTCATTCACTTCATAGCTGTTAGTCGTACATGGCTGTTTGTGGTTCATGGCTGTGTGTGGGTCATGGCTGTTTGTGATCCATGGCTGTTTGTGATACATTGGATGCCACTTTCGCTGACCAACACACCTTCACTACACTTCACAGTAAAAATCTTGTAAAGCACTTTAGAGACATTTTGATAACAAGACAAGGTACAGTATCAAATGTAAGGATTGTTATTGATAATTGGGAAAATAAAGAACACATCTACAATCAGTTGAAATTGATTTGTGGCTTTCTGCTTTTCATAACCACATAAACATGACGGGCTAATTCGAAAGCCCTTAAATCCTTTAATACAAATGTAAAGATTCTTACTTTTTATTCCATTATTACAGTCCAGTGCACAATAAATAGCACGCTCCAGCCAGCCAGAATTGTGAATTGTTAACATTAGCCAGATTCTGGGGAAAATTTGTTGCTCATGGCATCACAGGTTACAAGGATGTAATATCATTGTGAAGATTACATAGCTCATGTCTGCACTTTTATAGCCACCTGAATCAGTAGATTAAAGATTAATAATTTTTAATCATATTTCTAATCTCCATATATTGTTAACCTTTTAAAGTAATTATTTTTATTTGTGGTGCTTACAACACATGTACTGGCAGCATCACCATGAAATATAGCATATACAATTGAGAAATGACAGCTTTTCAATAAAAAAAATAATTCTCATATTCATATCGTAAATGAGAGGCTCATATATTCTAAACATGGGGTAGAACATCCCAAGGGAGGAGTTGAAAGAGAATCAAGGGAGTTGGTTGATTAAATGTATATGATGTTAAATGGGATAGAGGAAGTAAACCCAGGACAATACTTTCAGATATGCCAAGGCAGCAGAATAATAGGTCACAGGTTCAGAGTTATAAACTGCAATTTTACAATAGATAGACGCCAGGAAGTATTTCTTTACACAAGGTTTTCAACAGCTGGAACTTGTAGGTAGGAAAGGTCAGAAAGGACACAAGGCTCATTTAAGAAACCGTTTGATGTTGAAATGGGAAGACGGAATATTGGCATTCTGGATGGATCAGATCTAATGGGCTGAAGGGCCTTCTCCCTCCGAACCTCCCTTGTGGTCTCACAGAATTGCTCTGCAACGTGAGCATTGGTTCAGATAAAAATTGTGATTTGATATAATAATCCTTACATTTGGTAAAGCGCCACTCACGTTGGGAAAGTATTTCACAGAATTTACTGCAAAAAGGTGCAGTGACTGTGTTTTTTGTGGGCAAGCACAACAGTCAATTTGCACACAGCAGTGTCCCACAAACAACCATGGAGCTGAACCAATTTTATTTGGGTTTATCATTCTTTTTAAATAGTGCCATGGGATCTTTAATGTCCATCTGGACAGTCAGACAGGGCCTCAGTTTAACATCTCATCCAATAATGGCATCCCAACAACGTATCATACTCCAACATGTATTGGAGTGTCAGCTTAGACTATATGAGTTCCAAGTCCCGATGTGGAGCTTGAACCCATGACTTTTTGACTCAGAAACGAGAGTGTTACCAACTGAACCAGACTGACAAACAATGCATTAAGTATACCTCACCCACAGCTTCATTGTATGTGAATTATCAGGTGAGCTCACTCATGGGCTAAAAACATTTTCATTCAGAGAGATCAGATTATTGGTCTGAATTTGATGTGCTGGATGACATAACATCCAGTTTATCTGAACCTCTTGTGATCTTGCAGTGTCAATTTCATGGCGGGAATCATGTTTAGAACCACCTGTGATTAATAATAATATGCTTGCATTTGATATAGCGCCTTATCACGTCTTTGAGATGTCTCAAAGCGCTTCACAAAATATACTATAAAATGAATTAACTGTATATTCTGTGGGCAAAATGCGACAGTCAATTGTGCAGAGCAGTGTTCCACAAACAGTCGTGGATTAAATGACCAAATCATTATTGTTATTTTTGAAGGGATTAATACCCCAGGGAAAGCGATCCATCAATTGACTAACAACCGGATTCCTATTAACTGCTAGGTAAACAGAGACGTGTGGAATAAGGAAACTTGCCTAACATTTTGCCCTGCCTAGGAATCAAACCCAGGTACTCTTGCAGGTCCTCTTGCTTGCGAGGCGAGTGCTCTAACCAATAATCTACAGACTTCAAAAGTGCATTTTTCTCCCATGTGATCTGGAGCACAAGATAATTTGGTTATCGATTTCATCATGTAATTCCTTCTTTACATATGTATTTACATGTGGTTTACACATCTTGCATAATGGATCCTGCTGTACACCTGTATTTACACGTTTCCCAAAATAGATCCCAGTAGTTTTGGAGTAGAATTCATACTGTTTGTGATTTTGCCACACCAATGAAGAAACTTAATAGAGTGTGTGTTTTTTCTTTAGGAAGGAATGAACATGCTGCACTGCGCTGCACAAAATAATCACTCTTTAATTGTGGAATACATCATTAAGGATCTGCAGCTGGATTTGAATAAGCCCATTGAGGTATTTAGTTCTCAACTGTAATTATAAACAGAGCTGTTATAGGAAGGTCATGACCCAACTGTGCAGCGCCTTGGGACGTCCTCCTGACGTGAAAGGCGCTTTATAAATGGAATCTTGTTGTTGTTGTTGTTGTTGTTGTCATTGCAACGGATTCATCAACATTAAAAGAGAAATTTCACAAATGGCGTGCTGCTTAAGTTTGATTTGAAGACTGGCTAAGAATGTTTAGTGTAGGATATAGGGGCCAGTGTAGGAGAAATGTGACAGGCAATGATAGATATCAGCTGTTGACTTAAGTGTGTATTGTGTGAACTGACACTAATATGCTGTGATCCACTGGGAGGCAACTTCAATCTCTCCTCACGGTGACTCAATTGGCCCAGCCATCTTGACAATGTCGCCCACAAATTAATGCAAGGATTATTATTATTATGTTGGTGTCGATGTTTATTGGTTGAGAAATGGATAAGGACACAATGCCCAATAATTTAATGATTATCAAAATTTTCACTCCAAACACTTCTCTGTTTACTTTAGGGAAGAAAGGAATTGAATCTGTCATCATGAAATGAAATGGTTTTGGTAGAATCCATGGCTTGACTTACAAAGGAAACAACACAACAACTTGCATTTATATAGTGCCCTTCACATGGGGTAGTGTCCTAAAGCGCTTCACAGTGGTAGAAAGTCCACTCAGCAGCGAAGCTTTGGGCAGTTGAATGAATCATCACCACAATTTTCATCTCAATATTCCAAGTGTCTCCACCCTAGGAATTTGCAAGAAGTTCCACCCTTTAAGTTATTAAGATCCTCACCTACAAGGCCATTCACGGCCTTGCTCCCTCCTACCTCTCCGACCTACTATCCCCCTACCTACCTGCCCATACCCTCCGTTCCTCTGGCTCCGGTCTGCTCCACATCCCCCGCCCCAACCGCCCTACCATCGGTGGCCGGGCCTTCAGCCTCTCAGCCCCTAGGCTCTGGAACTCTATCCCCCAGTGCCTTTGCCTTGCTTCCTCCCTCCTTCAAGGCCGGTCTGAAGACCTTTCTCTTTGACCGTGCCTTCAGCTCCCCTCTCGACTCTCTTCCCCCTCCTCTCTCCCTCCCTTCCCTCCCCTCATCCTGACCATTTCCCCCCTGCTCGGGTCCTGACCCAACTGTACAATGCCTTGGGACGTCCTCCCGACGTGAAAGGCGCTCAAGAAATGGAATCTTGTTGTTGTTGATGTATTTATGAACAATGTAAACCATGACGAATTTAGAAATAAACACTCTTGAGAATTCCTCTGTTCACTACCACAGAGGAGCTTGTTTTTCTTTTATTAACATCTTTCTTTTATGATTATCCGATCTGCTAACCCCACATCAACCCGTCCGCTCCCTCCGCTCAGCAGGCTTGGCCTGCTCCATGTCCCAACACCCAGCCCGCCAGCCCCCACCATCGACAGACGGGCTTTCAGGCTCTCTGGCCCCACCCTCTGGAACTCCAACCCACATTCCCTTTGCCTCGCTCCCTCCCCTGCCTCCTTCAAGGCACGCCTCAAGATCCTCCTCTTCAACTGTGCTTTCGGCCACCCTTCTACCCTCTCTGCCCTCCACTCTCCCTGATCTCAACCCCCCACACTTGGGTCCTAACCCTTAATTCCCTGACTGCTTAGCACCTTGCGACATCCTCCAAATGTGAAAGGCACTTTACAAATATAATTTTGTATTGTATTGTATCTTCTGCATCTTATCCTCAATGCAACATTCCTGCATTCAGAGACTTGCGCTGGTCCAGTAAAAGATGAGGCAGTGTTTGCAAGGTGCAAGTTACTCACACTCAGACTTTTCTACATTTTCTTTCAGCAAGGTAAGAAACCATATCACTTGGCTGTTGAAAATGGGCATGTCGAAATGGAAATGCTGTTGAGGGAATTTGCATGTAGCACACAGGAGAAGGACAAGGTAATAATCCCTGAATGCCTCCCACTGCTGTCACTTCTGTGTTGCTTTTTGTATTTTGCTTTTTTATTTAAATCTTCATCCTTTTCCTCTGATGTCAACTCTTCATCCTTTTCCTCTGATGGAATTTTATCAACAATACGAGTTATCAAGAAAAGAGGCAACTCTTTCTACACATCTTTATGTAATATCTGGGAGGTTTTGAACTCTTATTCATACGTTTCTAGTACCATAACATCTGTTCTACATCCTCGCTCTAAATCTATATCTTTAGTCTATCTTATAGCGGTGTGAGTTATAGGTTTTCATTTAGACTCTAAAATATTATATACTTGAAAACTCCTTCCTTGTTGTTTTGTCTATCGCTTTTCCGGGGGTAATAATCCCTTGAAAAAAAATTTGGTCACTCAATCCACGACTGTTTGTGGGACACTTGGCTGCCATGTTTCACCCACAAGCCATACAGTCAATTCACTTTACAGTATATTCCTTAAAGTGCTTTGAGACATCTTGAAAATGTGAAAAAACGCTATATAAAATGCAAGGTTTCTTATTCTTATTATAGCTGCAGAGTTGATGTGTGAAATTGGTCATGACTGATCATAATAATGACAAGCCATTGTTCTTGTTGGCAGGAAGGTAACACAGCACTGCACCTCGCTGCGAGGAATGGTCACTCCACGATGGTTGAGGTCCTTCTGAGTGACTGGAAGCAAGTGGATGAGAAGAATGAGGTGAGGTCTTAACTACTCTAGAATTAGGGGGCATGGAGTTGAGTACAAGGGAAAATAGAACAAGGGAAATGGACTTCATAAGGTGATATGGTTACAGACTCAAGAACAAGAAGAAATGGTCTCCAGAGCAAGAGGAACAATGGGAGACTATCCTCCTTTGGAGGCAGAGCTGGCTTCAAGGTGACAGATTTGGCAACAGAATATCTGAATAGAGTTGACTCTGTTTGGCAGTCTTTGTAATTCAGCTCCTGAGCCAGTTGGGTTAACAGTATTCTAAGATACTGCTGATGATACCACATACACATTTTATGTAGAGTAGAGGCTGTGTGTCATTTATGTGTCAAATGTTTGTGTGAAAGATTTTATCTGCTTAAGCAACACATGATGCTGTGAAATCATTTCCTTATTTTTGGATGTTTAAAGCACCATAATGGTTTTGTACTCAAATGGTGCAACTATCATATGGACTAGTATTGATGTAGAATCCTCTTCCACCACCTATTCCTTCAAGTCATTGCTCCTTGACCATGGCTTTTGGTCGCTAGTCCTTACCCTTTGGCTCCCAATCCTACTATCTACTTACCTACCTCACTATAATGCATTACAAAAGAGCTTGTGCTATAACTTCTAATTGTCTAGATTGCAAAGCCTGTGAAGGTTTGCAAATGTTTTTCAGATACACATTAATTAACAGTGTCATCTTCCTACTAGGAGGGCCAGACTGCATTCTACCTTGCTGTCTTAGGAGGACATCAGGAATGTGTCCAAATGCTGCTTGACTCAGGCAGTGACATCAACACATTGGCAAAGGTACCTCAGATGCATTGCACTCTATATCACACATCCACTCTTCATTAGGTTCTTTTTAACAGACGTGTAATTTAATTATGATACTTGCATTTGATATGCAACAACAACAACAACTTGCACTTATATTGCACCCTCCACCCAGGGTAGCATCTTAGAGCAATATACTACTACTACTACTACTAATAATAATAATCCTTGTATTGACATAGCACCTTATCACATCTTCAAGACGCCTCAAAGTGCTTCTCAGAATATACTGTAAAGTGAATTGACTGTATATTTGCGAGTGAAATGCGGCAGCCAATTGTGCCACAGCAGTGTCTCACGAACCGTCGTGGATTGAGTGACCAAATTATTATTGACCAAACATAGCACCTTATCACATCATTGAAATATTTCAAAATGGTTTCCAGGATTTAATATGAATTTTAGCGACTGTATATTTGTAGGTGAACACAGCTGCTAATTTTTGCACAGGAACATCCTACAAATCAGCCAGGTAATGAATGACAAATTTTATCTAAGGGACTATTGGCCAGGACACTGGGAAAAATTCTCTTCTGCTTTCGAGTAATGTCATGGCATCATTAATATCCACCTGAACAGGAAAATGGGACATTGAATTGTCCTTTCATCCAAAGGACAAGACCTACAATACAGAACTTCCTCAGCAGTGCATTGTAGAATCAATCTGGAGCTCAAGTCCTGATGTGGGGCTTGAACTTTCACTTCTGACTCAGAGGCAAGAATGCTACCACTGAGCCAGGTAGACACCTTATTTACGTATTTCATAGTTCACCTTCGTGCTCATATTATTTTGTGTTTTCAGATTTCTTTTTATTAGTAAATTAAGAACTAGATTGGAACTCATAGTCTAAGTTTGCTGAGAGGTGACTTATTGTTGGAGGTGGTGTCCTTCAAACAAAGTATTAAACCAGGCCTGTCTGCCTTGTAGCACCGTTTAATAATAATAATCCTTGCATTTGATATAGCACTTTATCAAATCTTCGAGACTTCTAAAAACACTTCAGAGAATATACTGTAAAGTGAATTGACTGTATATTTTGTGGGTGAAACACGGCAGCCAATTGCACACAGCAGTGTCCCACAAACAGTCGTGGATTGAAGTGACCAATTTATTATTATTATTTCTTCTGAAAATATTTTACCCCTGGAAAAGCGATCCGGCAATCAACTAACAACCAGGTTTCTACATGACACTAGGAAAATAGGGGACATGTGGAGTAAGGAAACTTGCCCAACATTTCGCCCTGCTGGGAATCGAACCCAGGTCTCTCGCTTGTGAGGGAGCTACAGGAATCCACATTTAAAAAGCAGTTTCTCCTGGTGTTCTGGCCAACAGTCCCTCAGATAAAACTTGTCATTCATTTCATGACTGTTTGTGGAATATTTCTGAGCAAAAATTAGTAATAATTGGTATTCATCTAACATAACATGTAGGAGCAGGAGTAGGCCATTCGGCCCTACGAGCCTGCCCCGCCATTCAATCATGGCTGATCTTCTAATCTAACTCCAGCTAATAACCTGACCCTGCCTTATCCCCATATCTCTTAATCCCTTTTGCAATAAGAAATCTATCTATCTCAGTCTTGAATATAAATCTCTACAAATCTATACATATATATTATATATATTTATTTTGGTCAGCTGGGTGTCTGACACAAGAAGAAACCAATCACCATGTTTAAGAGTATCCAAACCAAGCTGAGATTTTCATGCATCCCACCTACACATGGAAATCCCAGAGATAGATTGTGGAATGGAATGTGCACACTCTCCCTGGAGAGATGCATCCTGCTTAGCTAATTCTGGAAAGTATTTGGTGCAGGTTGGCAAGAGCCAAGGCTTGGGGACCCAAGAGTGTGCTTTGGGGTATTAGTGGAGTCGAACCAGCTAAAACAACATAGCTTTCCATTGATATTGCTGTCTGACTAGCTTTCCCACTGTTTGTCCAGCGAGGACCACCCTACCCAATTAGGGCTTTGGGTTGCCAGGTTACCAAGGGCTGAGTGGAATGACTCCCTGCCCAGAGTGAAGCTTTCGGGGATGCCGCCCGGCGTGGAGAGCGCTGTATAAATGCAAGTTGTTGTTTTTGTTTGCCCTTCTGGGTTCTGCTGATGAGCTGATGTGCTGTCATCAGCAATGCTCTGGAATACAGTGGACTTGCCTGGCTCAGGAACAGGACTTCCGAGACCGCCACAGATGGCTGGCTCGATTTCAACATTGTGTTGCCAAGCATGTCACCTTGGAGTTAATTCAGCTCCAAGGAGACCCTGCTTACTTCACCCCCCACCCCCTCCCAGGAAGATAGTCACTAGGTGATCGTTCAACATCTGACAAACGCAGGTTTGAGCCTCACTAGGTGAATCATAGCTACAAGGAACTCCCTGTGAGCTGCCCGGTGGCCAACGAAACTCAGCATAAAATGTGTGAGAACATTGCCACCATCTTACTGTCTGCAGCTCGGGCACACGTCCCTTCCCATTGAGGAAGCTCCAGCCTTCTCCTTGTCCCCCAATCTCTCCATTCTACTGCTTTCAACCATTTCACCCCAAAACTCTGGAACAGTCTCCCTCAATTCCTTCATCTTTCCCCATCTTCAGGATAGCACCTGAAGGCCTTTCTCTTTGACTGTGCTTATGGTCACGTGCTTCCTCCCCTTGGCTCAGAGTCGTGCTCTGCCACTGTCAAGCGCTCTGGGACCCTACCCTACATAAGGGTTGCTATATAAATGCATGCTGTTGTTGTTGCAATCTTGACTGGTCTTGAAGGTGTGTTGGAATGCCACCTCCCCCCAACAATGGGATCCATCAGATGCTCGCAGCTCATGGTATTGCATTGCCAGTTAGCAAGTCAAGAATACACAATGAATCATATTAAAGCCAGAGTAAATGTCAGTTTATCCCCAGATTTGCTTCACATAAAACTCTACCAACTAAGTGTCAGAGACTTTCATTCCACTTTGTCTGGGCTGGATTTGATGCCAGATCCCAGGAGTGGAGTCTTGTAGATCAGTGGTAAGAGTACTCGCTTTGCAAGCAAGAGACCTGAGTTCGATTCTGAGCAAGGTGAAACCTTGGGCAAGTTTCCTTACTCCACACGCCTGATAATAATCCCTCAAGAAAAAAAACAATAATAATTTGATCACTCAATCCATGACTGTTTGTGGGACACTGCTGTGTGAAATTGGCTGCCGTGTTTCGCCACAAATATACAGTCAATTCACTTTACAGTATATTCTGTGAAGCGCTTTGAGACGTCTAGAAGACGTGAAGACCCCTATATCAAATGCAAGGATTATTATTATTAGTGAAATCTTGTGTGAATGCTGTCCCTTTTGTTTTAGTTCTTCATGTAAGAATTAATATCCATTTAAAAATGTGATATTCTGTCATTTTATTTCAGACCAACATGATTGCTTTGCACAGAGCAGCAGAGAGGAACGATATTTATATGGCTTCACTGCTCATTGAGGCCGGAACTGAAGTGAATGGCCTAAACAATGTACGTTTCACACACTCAACTCATGTTAAGTCCACATACTGTATATACCACTGTAAGATACAATTCCGTCATTGTCTCATTTTTCTTGTAGCAAATGGAAACTGCCCTGCATTTTGCTGTCAGATGCGGACACCTTTCGATGGTACAGCTCCTCATAGAATCTAATTGTGATGTTAATGTCTTAGACTTGGTAAGTATTTCTGAAGCTCTTTATTCTGTGCGAGAAAGAAGAGTTTTTTGCTGCAGTCGGGAGCGTACTCTCAGCGTACCTCTCCGAGTAAGTGAGAGTGCCTTTTTCTGGCTTGCTCGACTGCTCTTTATGATAATAATAATCCTTGCATTTGATATAGCGCTTTTCACGTCTTCTCGATGTCTCAAAGCGCTTCACAGAATATACTGTAAAGTGAATTGACCGTATATATTTTGTGGGCGAAACGCGGCAGCCAATTGCGCACAGCAGTGTCCCACAAACAGTCGTGGATTGAAAATGACCAATTTATTAGTGTTTTGTTTTGGAGGGATTATTATTGGAGTAAGGAAACTTGCCCAAGGTTTCGCCCTGCCTGAGAATTGAACCCAGGTGACTCACTTGCAAGGCGAGTGCTCTGACCACTGAGCTACAGGAACAGGCAATGTGGGCTCTGAGCTTTCCTGCCCAATTCTCAAATATTTCTGTTACGTCTTATTTCTGTCAAAATATTTCTGTCAAAATCGAAGAAAAACAGCAAAGTAATACTTTACGCTTGGAAGCAAATGGAAGGCAATCCTCCTGTGAACAGGAACGGACCTTCCCCGTGTATAATGGATTTGGTTAATGGATGGATTTTTAAATATAGTATTTAGCTGATGTTTTCCGTGCTTGATCAGCTAGAAGGGGCGCAAAATCTATGATCTTCCCTGAGACAGAAAAAACTTACCTGATTGTCTGGCTGAGTTTCTAAGCGGCTCTTCATTAGAAACTATCCCTGCTGTTAATCTCAATGCCAAATTGACCTTCTGTCTCTCAGGTCCCACTGTGAATAAACAAAACCTTCCAATAATTTGGCAAAGAAATGCTAGAACTAATTGTTTATGGCTGCTGATTGCTGACATAGAATTCCATGAGATATGGTACTGATTAAGATGATTGAATGTCAGTGCTTGATCCCTAAAATGATCTCCACATTTAAAGACCAATGCATTGTCAGTAGAACGGAGGGGAGGAACAAGCAACATGATCTGAGAGCAATCATAAATACCCTAGAGTGTTGTTGGACATGTTTTCATTAAAATCAATGTTGTTTTTCCCTCAAGAGAAACCAGAACCCATTGCACTTGGCAGCTGAAGCTGAGAGAGCCGATTTGTTGGAGCTTCTCCTGATAGCAAACACCGATCTAAAGCAAACAGACAAGGTCAGTCTTTATGGTGGGGTGTGTGAGATGGCGTAAACAACAACAACAAATTACATTTGTATAGCGTGTCTCATGTCTCATGGGAGGACGTCCCAAGGCGCAGGATAGTTAGAGATTTTGACCTGAGCTGGGGCTTAGGATCAGGAGTGGTGGAGGGCAGGGTGGGTAGGGGTAGGAGGGTGACTGAAGAGGATGGTCTTGAGACTCTGTTTTCCCTCATTTTTATCACTCTCCTAAAAAACCCCATACAAACTGCACTCACAAGTACATAACCCAGCGTACAAATATTCAGATATGCAAACATATCTGATCAAAATGATCATAAACATTCAATAAATAGAAATAATGGTCACCTTATTGGCATCCCAAATTGTTAGTAACTTCACCTACTCGGTGAAGTCATTAACAATTTTGGATGCCAGTTTTGCTGGGAGGAAAAAATCCCTGTCATTAATCCTCAGTAAGGCTAAAGAGACTTCTGTCTCTCTGGATTAAATTTTTGACACGCATTCACTGTGATGTGGGGAATTAAATCATATTATAACAGCTTGCATTTATATAGCGCCCTTCTCACGGGATAGCAACTCAGAGTCTCATAGTGGTGGAGTTTAACTCCGAGCCGGGGAGTTAGAGGAGGTGATAGTAGGCGCAATCGAAGAGGAAGCTCTTTAGGTGTGATCTGAAGATAGGGAAAGAGGGGGCAAGGCAGAAGGACTGAGGCAGGGAGTTTCAGTTCTGTTACAGTATTATATTATCTATTAGTTAAACTAATATACAATCAGGATATTTTAATTGTTCGCACTAAACTGCTGAGGTAAATGTTAAAATTTTAAATAGGATAATGGTTTAATCACTGTTAAATGTACCCTTCCATCTCTCTTTTATTTCTATTCTTTTTCCCACATTCTCGCTGTTTTTCTCATCTCAGAGCCTCTTTGTCAATGCAAGTGCTGTGATTTTTATGTCTCCTGCTGTGTGATGCTGTCATAGCAGCTAATGTGGCAAGTCACTGCTCTTTTTCCCTCATTGTTGTCCCTCTCCTAAAATACCCCATGTAAATACCACTCACAAATATGTAATCCAGCAAACTGATGTCCAAATATGCCCCCAAAATGATCATAAACATTCAATAAATGGAAATAAAGGTAGCCTTACAACAGTGTCGGTGTCAGTCTCACACAGGAGAGGAAGGAAGAAAATTGACAGAGGAAGGGAGTGTCAAATTGAATTACGCAATAAACTATTAAACAAGGCTTCCGGGAAAGATGTGGGTGTGTTTGTTGTCTAAATATCAGAACAATTGGGCATACTATTTAGCCAGCAATGGCTAAAGCAAATAGAATATGAGAGTGTCTTAATAGAATCCTGGTCTCAGTGTTGTGAGCTCAGTCTGGATTTCTATAATCAGATTACCTTGAGGAGACGCAAACACACTGCTGGGCCTGAGGTTTTAAAATAAAAATGGTTTTGCACCAGCATAGCTGCAACTGGTGCAAAACCCATTTTTATTTTCCTCATTATTTTCCCCATTGTTTTTCTCCTCTCCAGGTTTGACGGCTGTGTCTCATACTGCATTACAGTTTCACAGGTATCCGTTGTACTACAGCTTCTTGCTCAACCGTGAAGGAAAAGCTGTCAGCCTGACCCTGATCCTGTCATCACCTGACACTCCTACAAGGGCAGCTATTTTAATTCTTAAAGATCCCACCATTGGGTTTTTAATGTTAGAAAAGAGGCCGCTGTTCACTGGCTGATTGCACCAATGCTCAGGCGTTCTGAGCGAGGAGCTCTGAAATTAGGGGTAAGTGTCTGAGTGCAATGTGATTTGGATACACTTTTGCTGTATCTGGCTGGCACATGCATTGCCATTGCCCCAATTAAATCCAATGAGATATTGGACAGAGCAACTAGAGATCACTGCTCCCAGTTATGAAGCCAAATCAAGAAAACTGTAAATAATTCATAGAAGGACAAGGATTGCAATGCATCCCAAATCACTGATCTGTTGGAAGTTTGGCTGAGAATTGAAATGGTTTTCAAGGGCAAGAAGATTTAAGGGAATGGATAGTTTCCAAGTTTTTTTTTAAATCATGAAGGCACTGAATGGGGTGGATGTAGATAAATTATTTCTGATGTGGTGGAAGAAGCTGAGAATGAACTAACAAAACCGCAATATAAGCATTACTTGAGGAGGAGACACATTACGCTTAGAACTTAACATGTAGAATGGGTGTTGTTTAACGCAGTGACCTTAGAGTCAGTTGAAGCCCTTGGACTAATTCCTGACTCAGTGACTCTGGAAGGATACACATTGGCAGTAAGACAGGAGCAAGTTGGCCATGATCCAAGCTGGCGCTGAACGTACAGCAGACAGTAGGATGAATTACCTGCACTTTCCAATCTCTACATTTCAGCAAATTACATTCCACTCGATGAGAAGTCATAACAACAACAACAACAACTTGGACTTATATAGCGCCCTCCGCGCCGGACGGCGTCTCAGAGCGCTTTACGGTTTAGGATCCCAGGACCGAGCCAGGGGGAGGAGTGGGAAGGTGACCAAAGGAGCAGTCGAAAAGAAAGGTCTTCTTCAGAGAACTGAAAATGGGAAGGGAGGGAGAGGGAACTGAGAGGGAAGGGCCTCACAAGATGCAAGTAGGCAGGTCTGCCCTGCGCACTTTAATATAAATGGAAGAATAACCAGAATTAAATAACAACTCTGTTTGGTGTGATTTGGGGGCAGATTTCAATTAAGGAAGTTATCCATCCATGTGACTCGTGTGAAGGTTAAGCAGTGGTTATTACATGGTCGGTCATTATTTAGGAGTGCCTCATGATCTGTTCAGTCTTAGGGACTGGAGTGTACTCATCCCATAAAATTGAAGGCTGACTAACTTTACTTACTCCCCCTAGTCACAATCCCAGCCAAGCCGCCAGCAACTATGCCTTCATCTCACAACACAATCATAATGCCTTCTCTCCCTAATCGTCTGCCTTGCTTCCCTCCATGATCAGCGATCTCCATCCCCTTCCGCTTGAAGGACTTTGTGATGAAAGGTGCTATTTAATGTGCAAGTTGTTATTGCTCAGACCACACTTCCCCACCTACTGAAACTAACATCTACTGCACAGTGTGGGAGTTAACAGTAAATCTAGAACCAGTCCATCAATCTTTTAATATTTTTGTCTCCGATCTTTTTATTACCCTCTCCTTTCTTAACTGATTCTCTTCTTTATATCTTGTACCTGTCTCCATTATCCTTCCTTGTCTCACTTTAGGGTATTATTCTACTGTTTGTTCATCATATAGCACATTCAATATTGTTGGCTAAGATCTACTCAGCAGTTTATCCATGTTTACAAATGCCTAGATAACATCTTAGTAATAATATTACATTATAAATTATGGAATCAAGGAATTTTGAAGCATGGAAACAGTCCATTTGTACCTTTTTTTGGTCAGCCGAGTGTCTGACACACGTAGAAACCCATCACCTTTCTTAAGAGTATCTAAACCAGACACAAAATTCCACGTATGTCATCTACACATGGAAATTCCTGGAATGGAAAGCGGACTCTCTCTCCCAAGGGACTCATCTTGCTTAACAAATTCTAGAGAGTATCAGGCACGGGCTGGCAAGAGCCAAGGCTTGGGGTTTCCAGGAACATTTGTTGGGATACTGCAGCTAAAATGAAGTACTTCAGGACATCCCCTCAACATGAAAGGCGTTTTACCAAATGTAAGGATTTTAAAGATGGCATACTTTACAGTTTGAAAGCACTGTCTGGCAAGCTTCCCATTCGTTGTCCAGCTGGGCCATCCTACCCTTTGGAGCCATTAGGAAGAATCCCTGTTCCCAGCAAGTGGAGTCCTGTAGCTCAGTGGTTAGAGCACTCGCTTTGCAAGTGAGAGACCTGAGTTCAATTCCAGGCAGGGCGAGACCTTGGGCAAGTTTCCTTACTCCACACGCCTAATAATAATCCCTCCAAAACCAAAAACAATAATAAATTGGTCATTTTCAATCCACGACTGTTTGTGGGACATTGCTGTGCGCAATTAGCTGCCGCGTTCGCCCACAAATATACAGTCAATTCACTTTACAGTATATTCTGTGAAGCGCTTTGGGACGTCCTCCCGACGTGAAAAGCGCTATATCAAATGCAAGGATTATTATTATTATTATTATAAGTCATCTACCCCTCCAAGTCCCTCAAATGAGCTAGGCTGGCTGGGGGTGTCATAAGCAGTGTCCTGGAATATTGTGGGCTTAGGATCTAAACTACCAAGACTGTTACAGAGGATTGACTCGATTCTGACATCATGTTGCCAAACAAGTCATTCAGGAGTCAGCTCAGCTGGATGGCAGGTACCAGGAACTCCTGAGAGCTTCCTGCTGAGCAGCACAATTTGATTTGAAATGCATGAGAGTATTGCCACCATCTTGCATTGTTCCAGTCCATTCAGCCCAAATTGTCTGTGCTGGCGTTTCTCTCCATTAAGCCACCTAATCTAAACTTCCTTTATATACTTCACATTTATGAAATGAGCTGTGTGTGGAAGAGTATGTCACCTTCTGAAATGGCAGCTCAACTGTTGCAGTTTTGAGGAGCAAAATCTGTGTATTTATGCGTTTAGCTGCTGATTGATTACCAAAAACACAGCAAATAACATTATACTGAATTCAATCTCAACTGGGAATAATATATTCAAAAGAAGTGTTCTTTCCCTCCAATATCCTTTCTCTGCAGCAAGGTAAAACTCCACTGGGAGTCGCAGCCAGAGGCAACCACATCATTATTGTGGATATGATTATTAAAGCAGAAAGATATTTTGCCTGGAAAGAGGTAAGTCACCTGGGAGCTGCTCCTTAGAGAACAACAAAACAAGGTTTAGTAAAAGCTTTGCTTTCCTTTTTGTTTTACCATTTAGTTGTCGCAGGTTCTGACTCATGACTGTGGAGCGTTGCTTTCTTGCTGTTGTCCTATATTTGCTTAGGCACAGAGCACAAGTACGAGAGCTTGGGAACCCCAGAATGTGTGTTTGAATTAAACCCGCACAGCTTTCTAATGAGAGCACTGACTGGTAAGCTTCCTGCTGCTTATCCAGCTGTGACCATCCTACCAGTTAGGGTTTGGGCTGGAAGGTTAACAGGAGCTGAGTGGAAAAAATCCCTGTCCTTGGTGACCTCCAAGGTTTCCACCTCCAAGTTCTGCTGACAAGTCAGGCTGGCTGATTTGTCATCAGCAGTGCCTTAGAGTACTGCGGACCTGCCTGACTGACTCAGGAACTAGAATACTGAAACTGCAATACACTCAATTCACCTTACAAAATAGTCTGTGAAGTGCTTTGAGATGTCTCAACTACTTGATAATTTGCTGTATCAAATGCAAGGATTACATTAGTATATTAGAATGCCTTTGGAACTGATTTTAAGAAGCGAAAGAAGATCTTATATTAGGTTTAGACTATAAGTTTACAGGTGACTCCAGCTCCGTTTTGTCAGTATAAACAAACAATATGAATCTATGAATATGAATATAAATATGAATTTATATGGTGTCTTTCCCGTCCAGAGGATGTCCCAAAGCACTTTACAGCATTGGCTGGTCACCTGAACTGGGGTTGGGAGTTCGGGGGAGGGAAAGATGACCCAATACACTGTCAAAAAGGATATAAACCACAGAGAAAAATAGATTTTGCCCTTTTAATTAACCCAGCAGTGTTTGTCCATCCCTAGTTCCCTCACTTGCTATCATCACTCAATTTAGATAATACTGTGTGTTATGAAATGACCCGTGGTTTATTCAGATGTGTGCAGGCAGTCAGAGAGGCAAGCACTGTTTGAGAGAAACAACCACAAATTTTCACGTAGGATTAATCTTGGAGTGCGGCACAGTGGTGGGATTGGAAGAACGTGCAGGCACATTGTAAAAGAATATTAAGCAACAGGCTGCATTGAGATGTTATCAAGAAAGGCAAAACGGACTTCAAAACCCTGCAGTTTACAGAGCTTGAAGAGAGCCTCACTCACTAATGAAGCTGAGATAATTCTTGCCCTGATGACTTTAAGGATGGGTGCTAGCTCCTGACATGTTTGTATATGAGTTCTCATTCAGAACTCTGCCGCCCGCATACTGACCCAGACCAAACTCCGCACCCACATCTCACCAGATCTGGCCAGGCTCTACTGGCTCCCCATCACCGAATGGATCGACTTCAAGATCCTCACATTTGTGTTTAAATCCATTCACTCCCTGTCACTTTCCTACCTCTCCGACCTCCTCACTCCCCAGTCCACCACCCTGTGCCTCCACTTGACTGGCACCCGCCTCCTGCTTGTCTCTCGCACCCTCTGCCCCACCAATGCAGTTTGCGCTTTCAGCCACGACGCCCCAAAACTCTGGAACACTCGCCTTCAATCCCTCCGCCTTGCCCCCTCTCTCCCCTTTTTCAAGTCCCACCTGAAAACCTTCCTCTTCGACCGTGCTTACAACCACCTGCCCCTCTCCACCCTGACTTGGAGTCAGTCTCCAGACGCTACCCTGCATGGATGGCGTTATATAATTGCAAGTTGTTATATAATCAGGTCAAACTAGATTATCTTCTCCAGTCCCTTTGAAAACCACTCTTTCCAGATACATGAAACACACAGGAGACCCATTGTAATCTAGCACACAGAGGAGTATCCACAATAATGCGTAAAGCACCAAGAAAGCTGACAGCTTTCTCCTAAAAACAATCTTTCAGGAACAGCTTCATAATACAATAATAATCCTTGCATTTGATATAGCGCCTTATCACATTGTTCAGACATCTCAAAGCTCTTCACAGAATATATTGTGAAGTGGATTGATTTGTGAATTTTGTATTTTGTGAAATGCGGCAGCCAATTGTGCACAGCAATGTCCCTTAAACAGTTGTGGATTGAGCAACCACTTTGTTTTCTTCAAGGAAGGTTGCAGGTGTCAGACTGGAATTGACAGCATTTTAGGTCAGTCACACTTACTGGAGTGTGGGTACAGTTTTTAGCTACTTTGGATTCAGTAGCTTGACAGTTTATTCTCCACCATTTACACATTACATAGAGTAAATGATGCATGAAAATCAGAGCAGAACAGGGACCTTTGCCTCTCCTTGCTGGCTTTTAGCTAATTATCACCTTAAGTTTGAACCCAGTCATTAAAATAGGAACAGATAAAGAGTCTGATTGATAGTGAGGACTTATTATATTTATACCCAGTTTCTTGTAGAGTTACACTTTGGATGAGTGGAGCTCAGGGTAATGGAGGTGCTTGTTGTGTGTGAAAGTTGTTTATTATTAACTGAACTATCTGTTGACAAGACCATAACAAAGCAAGTTCTCTCCACAAAATACATAGTCACTACACTTTTCAGTATTCAGTACTATCCACTTATCTCAAACCTGTTTATATCAACGTGGATTGACCAAGATCCACCTCCGGCCTCCTGCTTGTCCCTTGTCCCCTCTGCTTCACTATTGGCAGCTGTGCTTTCAGCCACTATGCCGCAAAACTATGGAAGTCTCAGTTGGAATACTGTGTTCAACTCTGGGCACCGCACTTTAGGAAAGATGTCAGGGCAAAGGAGGTTTACCGGGATGGTACCAGGAATGAAGGACCTTAGTTATGAAGAGAGGTTAGCGAAACTAGGATTATTCTTCCTGGAGCAGAGAAGATTAAGAGGGGATTTAACAGAAGTTTTCAAGATCATGAGAGGATTTGATAGGTTGAACCGGGATAAACTGTTTCCACTGGCATGTGGGTCAGTAACCCGAGGACATCGATTTAAGATAGTTGTTAAACGAAACAGAAACTCACTCAGCGAGCTGTTCGGATCTGGAATGCATTACCTGAAAGGGTAGTGGAAGCCGATTCAGTAACAACTTTTAAGAGAGAAGTAGATCAATATTTGGAGAGGACCCAGGATTGTAGGGCTATGGAGAGAAAGCGGGCCAGTGGGATTGAGTTGGATTACTCTTTTAGGAACTGGCGCAGACACAATGGGCCGAATGGCCTCTTTCTGTGTTGTATGATTCTATGATTCTATGAACTCTCTCCCTCAATCCCTCTGCCTTACCTCCTCCTTTCCCATCTTCAGATCATATCTGAAGATTTTCCTATTTGACCGTGCCTACAGTCACCCCTTCCCCCCACACCCCCTCCTGGCCCCAGCTCTAAACCCCCACTGTTAAGCCCCCAAGACACTACGCCTCATTAAAGGTGATATATAAATGCAATAAATAATATATAAATGTGGTTATTTATCTCATACAGTTAACAAGAACTACTACCAATTACCTAGTGAGGTTGTCTTTAACGGTGAAGCTATGATATACTTTTATGTTTCAGACGCATCAAGATAACACTGTAGTCCCAGTCGCAAGTTACCCATTAAGCTTCAAACCAGACCGTACCACACAGACAAACCAGCTGCGCACAGCCATGTGGAACTTAGCAAACCACCACCTGAAACCGAAGGACTGGAAGAAACTTGCGTTCCACTGGAATTTCACTGAAGAGCAAATTAAAGCAATTGGGGAGCAGTGGACGGGTAAGAGCAAATATCAGAAATACATAGCAGAGGGAGAAATTCTGGGTTGTCAAATAGAACGTTTACCTTTCCATTTTAAAAATAATTCCTCCTTAGAATTCTCTCCCCTGCATTTTATCCCATTCCCTAAAACCACAATGCTATTTCCTAACATCTGTTCCAACACTAAAATCTCTACCCTATTTTTGAAATGCTAGTTTCTAAAACCTCAGCCTCTCCTCTTAAACCTACTCCATCCCCAAATTCTCCATTCCATCCTTAAAATCTCTGCTTCATTTGCTCAAATCTCTTGCATGCTTTAAAATATCCCACTTAAGCAGCTCAGGGAATGATAAATGGAATGAATCTCAGCATCTTTACTGGCTCCAATATCTCAGCAATGAGCTTTCAGCAAATGAACAGTTAGGGGTCCTGGCTTCTGATTTTGCCAGCCAGTCATGACAACTTCAGGCCTGCTACATGTGCTTTGACCCCTAAGACCACCATCAACGGCCAAGCCTTCAGCCACGATGTCCCAACCCTCTGGAACTCCCTTACTATATCCATCTGCCTCACTCCATTTTTATTAATCTTCAAAAATCTCCAGAAAAACCTATCTCTTCAATTGTGCCTCAGTCATCTTCCTACTCCACTCCCCTCCCTCCTTGGTGTCTATGTATTGTGCATTGAGGCGTTACCCAATGTGGAAGGCATTATATACAGAGTGACCAAATAGTCATGATATCTACCCTATTATCTAAAAAAAACGTCATTTCTTTAAGACTTATTAGACATTGTAATGGTATCACACTTTTTTGGTCACCCTGTAGATATAAATAGATGTCACATTGCCTCTTGAAGTTGGTTTCATTTGAATCCCATCCTAGGCTTAATTGTGTCTAAAATCCTTCTTTTCTGTACTGGGTAAACTTAACCCATTATTTAAATACATTTTCATCAACCCTTTATGTGCCACAGCTCATTTAAAAACAGTAGACACCTCTGAATTGATTTGCATCTATTTATATGTGTAAATTTATTCATATGGTCTCTTGTGCCAGACAGTTTCAATCAAAATTCGCGTTGATCTCTGATCTGACAATTGGGCGACAGAATTTATTTTTGTACAGCAATAAAATCAGCTGGGAACTCAAGCATTTCCCTGTTTGATATTTCAGGGCATTTAAGAACTGGTTCTAACCACTTTTGAGGTACCCTGAGTGTACAGGTGTCTGGATCCCATCCTTTTAAATTGCAAGTGGAATCCAAATCCAAGGAGAAACATATAACTGTGCAAGTGCAAACTGACACTTGCAGTTATTTCCAAGCTGCAATTTCAGAAGCTCCCCACTGACCTTCCCCTGATGTCTGGGGAGGTCCCTGACAAGCTGTCAAGGCAGCTTTGTCAGAGCAGCCTCCAGCCCCCAGGTGCTGTTACCTCTAGAGGTGAGAGGCATTGGTTTCTCATGAGTTAACAATGTTTGTTTATATTGTAGGTATTGGACTGTAGCTTGAGCGTCTGTTATTTGTTTCAACACATTATGATGCCCAAATATTAAAGGAATGTAAGAACAGCACTTTGGTCATTTGATCTAACTAGCCCACACCAAATTGGATTTATATCAGCTCTTTCAAATCAATTTCCCCTCCTTTCTCTATACCACTTAATATCCTTATGTACCAAATGTTTATCTGTCACTCTCTTGAAATCTTCAATGACAAATTGGTCACTCAATCCACAACCGTTTGTGGGACACTGCTTTGTGCAATTGGCTGCCATGTTTCGCCCATAAAATTTGCAGTCAGTTCACTTACAGTAGATTCTGTGTAGCACTTTGAGGCGTCTCAAAGGCGTGATTTCACCCACAAAATATACAGTCGATTCACTTTACCGTATATTCTGTGAAGCTCTTTGAGACATCTCAGCAATGTGATAAGGCACTATATCAAATACAAGGATTGTTATTATGTTCTGGATCTGGACACATTATGAACAATGATTTACCTCTAGCCTGCCTCTGTGGCCTTCTTCAGCAACACCATCTCGGCTTCTCCCTTTGCTCAGCGAAAATTGGCTTCTTCGTGTCCCCTGTCCAATCTGCCATCATCAGCCACCCTCGCTCTCTTGAATTCCATCTCGGAATCCCGCCAACTTGTTCCCACCCTCCTTTCGTTCAAGGCCCATCTCAAAACTTACCTATTTAACCACATGTTCGGTCATCTTTCCCCTCCGCACCCCCTCGCCTCCCACCCCCAGCTTGGATGCCTAGCCAGTATTGTCAAGTGCTTTGAGACTTTATCCTGACATGAAAAGTGCTATAGAAATGAAATAAATACATTTGAAGGGTATGGGAGAGAATGAGGTGTGGGAGGAGACTCATGTGGAGTATGAAGAGCTGCCTGGACTAGTTGGACCGAATGGCCTGTTTCAAAGCTGTACATTCTATGTAAATCTATATATATATATGTAAATTAAACAATCTACTTATTATTATAGAGATTCCAGCACAGAAGGAAGCTATTCAGACTGTTGTGCCTGTGCCATTGCTAACTCCCCTACTGATGCTATCTATTCTAATTTAAACACAGAAGTTGCTGGGAACACACAACAGATCAGGCAGTGTCCATGGAGAAAGGAAAATTAGTCATTTTCCTCTCTCCATGGATGCTACCTGACCTGTTGCGTGTTCCCAGCGACTTCTGTGTTTATACCAGATTTCCAGCATCTGCAGTACTTTGGGTTTTGCTATCTATTCTAATCTATTTTTCCTGTTCTTTCCCTGCACCCTTCTTTGAGCATTGATTTAATTCCTTGTTCAAGGTATTTCCAATCACTGTGTATTTGAATGATTGTGATAAACCACCATGGAAATTCAACCACAGAATAAAAATCTCTTGAGCTTTACATTATAGATCTACAACCCAGATTGCAAGTCACTCTTCGCATCTGGTTCTAGAGAGCCACAAATGTGGGAAATGCACTGGAGCATGCAAATGTGCTGTTCTACCGAAAGGTCACACGCATGTGAATTTTCTATTGTAGTTATATTCTTCCTCGTTCTTTAATTGTGGATCAAAGAACTACAAAATGCTACAGGTTACAAACATGGAGTTCCCCTTTTGTGCATTTAACTTTTTTGTTGTAGTTACCTTCCCAGTCTCTGTGATGCCTCATTTAGTACAATAGAGGTATGCTCATGGAATTAGGTCTGACAGGCAGGACTTGAACTAATAATAATAGGTCTGCATTGGCAAAGTTGTTGTTAAACTGAGGTCCCGTCAGCTTGTTCAGGTGGTTATTAAAGATCCCATGGGACTATTCAAAAAGAGAGGGAGTTTCTCTGGATGTCCTGGCCAATAATCCCCTAAATAAAATTGGTGACTCGTTCCATGGAGGTATGTGTGCAAATTGGCTGTGCGTTCATCCATAAAAGACATTGTCACCGCATTTTACAGCATATCCTATGAAGCGTTAAAGACATCTTCCCCTGATGTGAAAGGCGCTATACCAAATGTGAGGATTAACGTTGTTATCATAGAATATGACCCATTAAATATACTTGTTTCCATCAAGTATCATGCCCCAAAGTTTGGGCATTTTAATGTGCAGAAAATAGTCAACAGGAGTTTAGTCACAAGCCAATAACCTTCATATAAGTGGATGTGTTAAGGCTGGGGACTGCCTGTGTAAAGCCTATTCTCATTCAGGTTTATTGAAGGAGATCCTTTAAGAACATCTATTTCTGTTTGTTTAGGAACGAAAAGCTACAAGGAACATGGTCACAGGACATTGCTGATCTGGCTCCATGGAATTCTATTAACTGGCACAAACCCAGTCAAAGGCCTGTATGAGGCCCTGATCAGTATTGAACAGAAGCAATTAGCTGGTAAGTGAAGAATGTGCAAGTCTAGAACTTTAAAATGTGGCATAATGTATGTGACTCTGTCCTTAAGACAACTGAACATAATTAGAAATAAGCTGTTAAAATTCATTTGTATCCATGTTCATCTAACCAGCACTGCTCGTGAATGAAGTCGGCATCCCAATTACTTTAATGTTTATAGAATATGCTACATTCATACGCTATGTTCACCCACAAATTATACAGTTACTCCACTTTACAATATATCCCGTGAAGCACTTTGGGATGTCCTTGTGACGTGAAATGTGCTATACCAAATGTAAAGATTATTATTGTTATTATTATTATTTCCATTGCAGTATCAAGTTGTTTTTAAATGAGTCTAGTGTCCTGAGATTAAATGGATGGGTAAAATTCATGACAAGGAACAGCAGTAGGCTATTTATATTCCTTGCATTTGATAGAGTGCCTTATCAAGTCATTGAGACTTCTCAAAGCGCTTCACAGGAAATACTGTAAAGTGAATTGACAAATGAGTTGCACCATTTTATGAGAACATGGCAGGTCTTTTAATCACATTTCGCAGTCTTTTCTCCAAACCATTTAATATCCTTACTTCCCAAATATCTTATCTAGCATCCTTTTAAACATTCAATTAACTCTGTATCTGTGGCCTCTGGGGCAGATTGTGGAGTAGTGGGTCAGCACCTTGCATGTTGGAGAACGTCCCAAGGTGGGGATTGGGGAAAGTGGAGAGCTGGGGGGAAGCAGGGTGATTGAAAGCACGATCAAAGAGGAGAGTCTTGAGACAGGTCTTGAAGAAGGCAAGGGAGGGGGTGAGGCAGACGGACTGTGGGGTGGAGTTCTAAAGGTTGGGGGTGGGTGAGGCAGGCTGGAGCCTGCTGAGCGGAGGGAGCAGGCAAGTTGGTAGGGGGTTAGAAGGTCGCAGAGCTAGTGGAGAGCAAGGCCATGGAGGGCTTTGAAGGTGAGGAACAGGATCTTGAACTGTATCCTCTGTGTGATGGGAAGCCAGTGGAGTTGGGCAAGGATGGGGTCACGGAGCCTGGTGCGGGAGAGGACATGGGCTGCAGAGTTCTGGATGATCTGCAGCCTATGGAGGGAGGAGTTGAGGAGGTCAACAAGCAGGGAGTTTGTGTAGTCAAGCCTGGATGTTATGATTGCGTGTTTGAAGGTTTTGGCGGCCTGCGGCGTGAGACAGTGGTGGAGCCCGGACATGGGGGAAGGCAGAGCGGATCATGGCATAGATGTGGGGGAGAAAGGATAGTTGAGGGTCAAACAACACTCCAAGGTTCCGGACTGACTCAATAAGGTGGAGTGTGCATTCTTGGATGGTGATGCTGTCAACGCCTGAGGTGTCCAGGCGCTGACGGGAGCCACTCAGGAGAGCCTCGGCCTTGTTGACGTTCAACTGTAGAAAGTTAGCTCTCATCCAGGACTTCATATCCGACAGCCATTCTGTCAGGACAGCTGTGGTCCTGGAGTCAAGGGTGGAGGCAGAGAGGTAGAGTTGGGTGTCATCCGCATACATGTGGAAGTTGACCCCATGTCTGCAGATGATGTCACCAAGGGGGAGCATATAGTTATTGAAGAGGAGGGGACCAAGAACAGAGCCCTGAGGAACACTGCAAGAGATGGTGCGGGGGCTGGAGGAGAAGCTGTTTGTGGAGATGAAGGGGAGACAATATGAGAGGTAGGATCAGAACCATTCATGGACAGAACCATGAGCTTGAGGTGAGAGGAGAGGCGGTGGAGGAGGATGGAATGGTCAACGGTATTGAAGGCAGCAGAGAGGTCAAGGAGGATGAGGAGGCAGAGGGAGCACTGGTTGCAGATGGACAAAGTGTCATTTGTCACTTTGACCAAAGCTTTTTATGTTTTAAAATGGATAAAAATATTCACTTACTTCTCACTTCTCCCTCTCTAAAAGGAGGATGGATGTTTTGGTGCTGTAGGCTCTATATTAAAAGCAAGAATTACCATTAATTTATCCCACTCGTCAGAGGTACCTACAAGGATGTTTGTGCCTCTGGTGTTGGAGAGTGACTATCTCCTTTAATTTTTGAATAAATCTTTTGTCTAATGACTGACCTTTGAGTGTACTCTTCATGATTCATGGATTAGTCCCACTGAGCTCTTGCTTGCAATTCATTCCAGTTCAGCAGGATTAGCATTTTACACCTCGTGAATTATTAGAGGAGTTCTTACCTCTTATATTCAGTGGAACTGTTGTTTGTGCATAGGGGTGTGTTTAAAAGAACAAACAAAGCAGTGATTACTCAATCCTTCTGCATTCTTTTGTTATGAGACAAGAACAGATTTCAAAGAGCTGGGCTAGTTGCCAATGGCGCAATTTTCTCATTTCACCTTTGCTTTGCTTTTAAAGTGAAACGCCTGCACTATTTTAAAGATTACATTCACCTCTGTCAACCCAGTTATCTTAATTTATAATCTCTTTATGCAAACTCACCCTTAAAGTTCAGAAGAATTGCCTAATTATCTCATTCTTTGCAGGATGTTTCTGGAACATTTAACTGTTGGGTTTGCCTTCAATAAAAACATTCACTTTATTATTTCTAATTTACTTTTATGTGATGGCTGCATTTTTGATTCACAAAGTTTCATTATTTTCATCAAGAATCATGTAAGAAGTTCAGGGTCAGTAGTTACTTCATGGACCCATCAATATTATGGATTACAAGTAGATACAAAGGGCATATTTGCCTTACACAAGTACAAAGGAGAACAAAAGTAAAGCTTTGCTACATTTCCCTCATGTGGCATGAATTAGCAACTACAGCACATGGAACAGCACTGGACAGAGCCAATGATATTGATCCATCTCTTGATCAACCCCTTTTTCTAATTAATACCAAAAATAATAAACCTTGCAGTTGATATAGCACCCATCACTTCAGGAAGACATCTCTCAAAATACTATAAAGTGGAATTACTATATCCTGTAGGCAAACACGGCAGCCAATTTGTGCAGAGCAATGTCCCACAAACCTCCATGGAGTGAATGAGCAATTGAATCTGGGGGATTGTTGACCGGGATACCAGGAAAACCCCCTGTCTCTTTTCAAATAGTGCCACGAGATCTTTAACATCCCCTGAATAGGCAAACAGAATCTCGCATTTTAGCATCTCAGCGAAGAACATTACCATGCTCCCCCCGCGCTGCACTGCTGTGTCAGCCTAAACTATACAGCATTATGGAATATTTGTAAATTCAAATGGAATTTGGAAGCTGGTTTTCTGAAGTTCTTAAGGAGCAATTGGGATTAAAAATATAAAGCATTTCCACCATCCGATAAAACTGCAGAGCAAGCTCAGTTGGCCAAACAATCTCCTTCTGTTCCCAGGTAACCCAAAAGCACGGCCCCTATCACTTTTCAACTTCTCTCTGAAGTTCTATAGCTCACATTTTGGTTAAGCATGGGTTCATCTTACACAAGCAAATACGATCTTGTCTATCTCAGTTGCTATGCACGCCTTTTTTCAAGGTGTAACTCTATAGTCTACACTCCCTTGGACAACAAAGCTTGTTTATTTACTGGAGTCCAGGCAACTACGATAACACATTACAAATTTAAATACAAAATACCATCTTCCAAATATGTTTCATCACAGTTACATGGGCACTGCTGGTTTATGCTGATGTTAATGGTATACAAATTGTGGAAATTGCACCAGCTTCCTGTAAACCTTCCCGTGCTATAAAAATAGCCAACTTCTGGGTCACCAGATTACTTCTGGTGTCACTTCCTACAGGCTGCACATGCACAGCATGCAGGAAGTGGTATTTGCATTAACCTGTTAATCTGGACATTGACCATTTTTTAGTGTGCAGGAAGCCAGCTGGTCTCCACAGGGCACCAGTCTTAAATATGAAGCAACATCATAAGGGCTTCTCGGCCTTTTGTCTAAGATCAAGTGTAGCATCTGTTCTTATCAGTTATTCCTTGGGCAGTGAACCTGCAGAAAAATCTTTTGAAGTTTGCATATATATTACAAGGCCATGACTGAACTTCCCCATAATGCATTATGCGAAGCGCTTTGAGACGTCTCGAAGACGTGATAAGGTGCCATATCAAATGCAAGGATTATGGTTATTATTATCATTGTGAAAGGATGAGCTCCTGTCAGGAACCTGTGCCTTCAGCTCTCTGGTGACTGGGATCAGTATTGTAGTACTCACATCTGAAAAGTTTGATCCACCCTCAGGAGAGGAGATACTGGTATATGGAACTAGCTTGAGCACTTGATCACAAGGCTGAGGCCAGACTTGCCAGGGCTGGAGAGGTGATCTGGTCACTTGATCCAGTTTCGGGTGAAGATAAGTGCCAGATTTGCATCGTCCTGTGACGATTTGCGACGTGTGTGTGTGTGTAAAAACGTTATAAAGGGGCACCATAGAATAAGGTTCCACGTTGAATATTCCTTTCACTCTCATGTAATAATTTTAACATTAGCATTAAAATAACTATCAATATTAACAACAATAACAAAATTACATTTGTAAAGCGCCTTTGATGTCGTGAGGACGTCCCAAGGCGCTGAACAGTCAGGGATCAGGACCGAGCGTGGGGGGCAGGGTTGGATGAGTGAGAGCAGAGGAGGTAGGAGGGCAGCTGAAGGCACGGTCAAAAAGGATGGTCTTGAGTCGTAATATAATATATATCCAATAAATATTAATTAATAAGATTACATTTCCAATACCATTATTAACATTGTTAACATTTATCTTAAAGTATGAGATTGGAAATGAACCCTAGCACACTGAGCTGGTAAAATCACGCACAAATCTTTTCTTTTTACAGATAAGATCAGAAAAGAAATCAACGGAGCAGAAACATCACAGAGATGTATAGTTTCCTGAAGTTTACAGAATTCATAGCCTCAGTCAGATGTTCATCAGATTCAGAAAAAGATTGAAGAAATGCTGTGAGTGCCGCAGTCAAGATACCAGAGATCCTCATACCCAACCCTGAAGGTGAACTGAATGCAACAATTCACGCGCATTAATTACTCTAGCTGTTTAACTGTAGGGAATGACGGCACTTTGCATCTGATGAAAGCTTAGGAACAGAGTTTAAAATTTCTGCAGTTTTTCGATAAATGCCTCCCATAGGCATTCATGAATTTTCACTAGTATTGTTACTATATCGAAAGTAGGAAATCCTGAAAAAAAAGAGAATGTACATTTTAAAATAGGGCTCCATTCAATGTCTTATAACAATAACCTAAATGTGAGAGTAAACTACTGAAGTGGGTTTTGAAAGACTGAGAATTGATGGTTAGAACAAGCCATGAAGAGGTTGTGGGTGATGCGCAAATTTCATTACACATCACCCACATAGGCTATGCTGGTTTATACTCAAGCTAAAGGTATACAAATTGTGGACACCACAGTCAAATCTAGTCATAAGCCAGTATAAGTGCCATAAAATCCCAACCCACCTAATAACTGAGAGACAGCTGCTACATTCATTGAACGTAAGCAGGTAGCTTCTTGTGTGCTTCCTGCAGATTCATCATGGAGTCAAATCCTGAGTCTCATCATGGCAAGATCAAATCTAATGGGAAAGTGCATCATCAAATTTACATTCAACAATTTAGTAATCCCCATTCTCTTCCCTTCAGTAAAGATTTAATAAGACCATCTGGAATAGATAATCAGCATTTTTTTTGTGGTTGCAATTTCAAAATCTCTGAAATTGACATTTCGTACTAGTAACATTTGAAGTGATATTACCAGCGTTTGAAATGCCATCCGCTCCAGTCTGCTTGGCTGGGATTTAAAATTCTTTCAAGCCCCTTGAATAAAAATGTCACACCGTGCTGCAGCTACTTGTCAGAGGAAGCTTTTATAACTGATTAATTAATAGCGTGTATACATGCTGTCTTGCTTCAGATCTTTCTCCCTCCAGCTCCAAGTTCGATCAAATTGGTGGTGCAGTGCTTTTAAACACATAAGGACAGAATGTTTTTTCACACTTCCAGATGTGGATTATGCAGCTAAAATAAAAAAAGTTATATTTGTTATCACTACTGGTGTGTGAGCCATAAATAGTGGAAAGCACACCACAAAAAACTCTTATATACTATTTAGTTTTGTTTTCATATCTATGAATCAAACAAAACAACAACAAATTGCATTTATATGTAATGTCTTGGCTCCTACCATAAAGTCCTACTTCTGGACTTTGAACTCATAGTTGATATTCTAGTGCTGTGCGAATGCATTGTTGGAGGTCTTTTGGATGAGACGGTAAACTGAGGTCCAGTCCGCTTGTTCAGGTGGACGTTAAATATCCCATGGCACTATTGGAAAAAAGGAAATTTCTCCCTTTGTCTTGGCCAAAGATTCCTCAATAAAATTGGTGATTCACTGCTTTGATATTTTTGGGACATTGCTGTGTGCAAATTGTCTGCTATGTTTGTTTACTAAGTACAGTTACTACACTTTACAGTGAATCCTGTGAAGCATTTTGAGATGTCTCTGTGTCCTTTACGGCCTTGCCCCTTCCTACTTATGTGACCTACTAACCCCACATCAACCTGTCTGCTTCTTCCGCTCAGCAGTCTTAAACCTGCTCCATGTCCCCCACCTGGCCCACCCCACAATCGGCGGACGGGCCTTCAGCCTCTCTGCCCCCAACCTTTGGAACTCCATCCCACATTCCCTTGGTCTTGCTCCCTCCCTTGTCTCCTTCAGGGCACGCTTCAAGACCCTCCTCTTTGATCGTGCCTTCGGCCACTCTCTTACTCTCCTTCCCCCCCACTCAGGTCCAAACCCCTGACTGTCCAGCGGCTTGGGAGGTCCTCCTGACGTGAGAGGCGCTATACAAATGTGATTTTGTAATATATTCTGTATCCTGACATGAAAGGTGCAATACCATATGGAAGGATTTTTTTCATATATTGGCACAGCAATCCATGATAATGTTGATAACTGACCAGGCAATCTAGAGTTGTGGCAACTCACAAAAACAAAGCTCTAACGCGTGGAGCTAGATGTACAAGAACTAAATATACCTTTATATGGAGTTATATTTTAAACCTCTTGTTTAAAATTTATTGAATTTGTAAGATTTGCAAAATAAATTCTAATGTAAACCAGAATATTTATGCTCTGTTAAGACTTCTTATTTGTATCTTTTCACCAGTAAAAAATTTATTCAATACATGTTGTCCAGATTTGTGCCAAAACTATGTTGAGTGTGAGTTATTTGTAAATATGCACAATGTAGATATTCTTAATAGTGGAAGAGTTGTTTTTCTATAGTGTAATAAATCATTAAAAAAACAAAGTGGACTCTTTTGTAATAATAATTTTTAATTAAGTTAAATATTTGTAATACAAAAGTTTAAAAATGTATTATATGTACATAACACACATGGTTTATACAAAATTAATTTAGAATTGCAACTTCATACCAAACTACTTTTATCTTTTGTAAAAATAAAAAGTCAATGTCAGTTTGATACGGTTTTAAAATTGCACAAACCAAAAATTGGAACTTCAAACCACAAAAAAAATTGGAAAATAATGTAAAATAAGGAAATGCATTAAAAAAAAGATCAGGTTGGCCAGCATTTAAAAGAAAAAGGTAGCTTAACATTTTGGGTTTGAACCTTCATGAGAACACAATCAGATTGACTTGCTCTGCATTTCCACCATTTCCTGCTTTCATTTCAGAGATGCAGCATTCAATGTTATTATTAAGTTGCACGAAAGCAATGTAAACAAGCAGATCTTTATGAAACTGCATATTACAAATTTTTGGTGACCATCTAAGACATGATTTAGCGTGGAGTCAGTAGTTCTGTGCCACACAGCAGGATGTTTAAAATAGACATCAGAATAACACTGGATTCAAATAGTTGCACTAGATTTTACACCATAGGTCAAGGGATAGAAAAATACATAAGATTGTGCATAGCTTCATATTTAACACCATCTTTTTAAAAAAATCATACGGGATGAAAATTCAACTCAAAGAATCAAAATGAACAACATTCTCAAAATAATCCTGAAAAATGACAAAAAAAGGTGCAAGTGATTAGGTTTCTGAAGCAACATTTGTATTCCTTCCTGCATCACACAGTACATCTCCCAATACCCGCTCTCCGATTTTTGCTTGTGTTGTTCTTGAATGAATTACAAGGAGTTTTCTACATGGAAGTGTTTGAGGTACAACTCATTAACAGAATCAAGATTGAAAATCTTTTGCACCTGTGTAAACTGGAGGCAGAATCTCATATTCCTCCAATATGTGGCACACAATTCTTTTGTGATTTGGGAGAGTCAGTGATTAGGAGATGGAATGTGAAAGTTTTGACCTGTTTTCAAGATAACCCAATTATTCAGCATTACATTTCTGTTACTAAAGGCTGAATTCTATACAAGGCCTTCAAACTATTTAATAATATTTAAGTCAAGTACAAGAGGGTAATTATCTGGATATTTGAGATTGCTTCTTAAGTCACTGGGTGGTAACTCTATAGTACAGGAGAAGACTCATGAAGGTACAAACAATATGGGACAAGTACCTTAACAATGACTGAGTGTATTGTAACATCTTCTTTCACTGGGCAGGAGTGAGGAAAGGTGGGGGAAAAACACATAACCTGAAGTACTCATAGGTCATTACATTTCTGCATAAACTACACAATAATTTTTAAACTTATGTATTTGATGATTGTTCTGATCCAATTCCAATTTCATTGTAGCCTGACAAAGGATTTAGAAAAATGGCACAACATTATTGAAGCTAGTTTGCATTTAACAAATAGCCGATGGGGTAAACAGAATATATACTGAGGAAGTTTTAAGCATAAGGCCACTTACGTGTATAACTTATATGACCCACTGCTAGGCCATCAATTATAGGATGACTGGGAAAAATGACAATTTCCTGCAAGATTTTTTTGTATCACAATCTAAGAATATTATTCCCTCACAAAGTTTTAGTGTAAGATCATTGCGGACACATCAGGAACTTTGAAATTGTTGCTCATTTACACTATTGATCGTACAGAAAACTTGCTCAATTACTGTGGGATCTGATACATGCATTACACCTTCACTTAGATTTTCATGAGATCCAAACTTTGTTGTTGGAGGGGAGGTGCAGCACTTAGTCAGAATGATGGTTTACCATTTCAACAGAGGAGTTGCAGGATCCACTTTCCCCATCGTTTGCTTATAAAATATTTCCATCAATCCCCAAATGATCTGGAAATCCCTTGTAAATTTGCTATTCCTGAGTTGTGCAATTCACATTAATTTAATCGTAGCATTTCGTAATTTAACATACAGTTCCTTAGTCGTCGTAATATGGTAGAACCATGCATTGCACAGTTCTTTAATTTATATCCTCCATGTGTTTCATTCCGAGCTTCCAGCTGATTGTTTCAAGCATTCAGTCCACAACTTTTATTGATTGGATACCATAGCTGCTCGTGGAAGATTTTCCACTCTGTATGATCACCTTCCCACCACTACCTGAAGGGGGCTGGATGGATCGAGGATACTTGGCTGCAGTGGCTTGACCAATGGTTTGCTGGAGGAGAAAAAACAAAACAAGTAAACATCACTAAAGACCTTCCTCTTCAACTGCACCTTCGGTTACCCTCCTACCCTCCCGATCACAAACCCCAGCTTAGGTACAAATTCTTGATTGTCCAGCACATTGGGACATCCTCCTGACATTAGAGGCACTATAGAAACGTAAGTTGTTGTTGTTATGAAACAATGAGGTGTTATTAGTTCCAATTGTTTTATCGATTCTTCAAAAAATCCTGGTTGTTTGAAGCTCACCATTTCACATTCCCCCTTCACCCCTATCTGATTGAACTTTAACAAATCATGGGAGTCTTGTTCTCAATTATTCAGGTAATTCCTCTTCGATCGTACCTTCAGTTGCCCCCTCACCTCTCTGCCTTCCTTCACCCCTACCCCACCCCTCCCCCATGCTCAGGTCCTGACCCCTGACTATCCAGCACCTTGGGACGTCCTCCCGACGTGAAAGGTGCTCTATAAATGTAATTTTATTGTTGTTGTAATAATTATTAACCTTTCAACTCAAATCAACTACAAACTGAAAGGAAAGGAGGTTTAATTAACAAGATACAATGGTATCTATGTTTGATGTTTCTTAACAGGTCATTTATCTTTTTTAATACAGAAATATGTTCAAGCTACTGGTTACATAAGTCAGCATTCAAATATACTCGTGGACATATGTTAAGGATCAACAATTTACACCAGCGTTGCTAATATGACTTGGATAACATTACCTCCTTGGGTTATTTTTCCTAAAATCATTAGTTCAACACAGAGCACTTAATCATTTAAGTAACTAATATTAAAAATACTTATTGTAACTGTATTCATGATTACTAGCGCAACATACAAATAGAATGTATGACCATCACTTGTTCTGTTACACACCCTAATTTTCTATTAACCAGAGCATGCAACAAGGTCCAATTATCCCTACTCAAGTTTCAGAAGTTCCTTTACAAGACAGAGAAACAGCTTGAACCAGGAAACTGATGTGCTGCATTGAAGAATGAAGGAAATTTAATACAGAAAAAAATGATAAGTTTATTTTTCTTCCCCTTGACTTGAGCACAAATTAAACTGCTGTCTGAAAGAACAGGCTTCAATTCTCAAATACTCCTAGGACAGGGATAATAATCTCTGCATTTGATACAGCGTCTTATCATGCCATCAATACATCTCAAAGTGCTTCCAAGGATTTTACTGCAAAGTCCACTGACTGTATTTTTGTAGGTGAACGCAGCAGTCAATTTGCACACAGCATTGCTCCACAAACTGCCATGAATAAATGACCCTTTTATTTTCCTGGAGGATGATGGCCAGGACACTGGGAGAAACTCCCTTCTCTTTTTAAATAGTTCTATAAAATATTTTACATCCGCCTGAACAGACAGACAGGATCAGTTTAATGTCTCATCCAAATATCGGTACCTCTGACCATGCCACACCCTCTGCTCATAAATGTCAATGATTTCTCCAACAGGCCTTTTTTCTCAGAACAGGTAAGGCTCATCACCTTATCAGTAATTCGGATAGGAAAGTTTGTTTAGGACAATGGTAACGCAGAAATGTACGGTAAAAACCATTGCAGTCCAGCTAGATGTAAAAAAATTAAAAAAAAAATAATTCTATAATACGGATTCATAGACCTCATTCAAATTCTGTCCAAAGAGCTATCTAATTTGCTCTTAAATTTACTGATACAATCTGCTTCCTGGCAATCTGCTCCACATATTCAGCTATCCTTGCCAGTAATTAAATCTGAACTGTCTGTTCAGCTCTCCCTTTACTGAGAGTGCATACGTCAAGCTGCTGTTCGTCGACCCATATCTGAAGCATTCATTGCCCATTGATGCAATAGCAAGCTTGCGTATTGTGTCAAACCTTGTGGAGTCCTGTAGCTCAGTGGTTAGAGCACTCGCTTTGCAAGCGAGAGACCTGAGTTCAATCCCAGGCAGGTCAGGGCGAAACCCTGGGCAAGTTTCCTTACTCCACACGCCTAATAATAATCCCTCCAAAACCAAAAACAATAATAAATTGGTCATTTTCTATCTACGACTGTTTGTGGGACATTGCTGTGCGCAATTGGCTGCCGCGTTCGCCCACAAATATACAGTTAATTCACTTTACAGTGTGTTCTGTGAAGCGCTTTGGGACGTCCTCCCGACGTGAAAAGCGCTATATCAAATGCAAGTATTATTATTATTATAAACCAAGAGTCACTGAAGCTACTGACTACTACTTGAGCGTTCCTAATGTAAATTAATTGTACCCAATCCCCTAATAGAATTCCACATACATCAAGACTCTCTTGGGCAAACAACAACCTACTTCATGAATCTATATACTTCCAGAATCCCTTTCTGGAGATACTGACGTTCCTCATTTTTTAAACTAGGAAGACCATCAAGACATGGACAATAGGTTGGGCACATAGGGATCAGTTTGGTCCATTAGTCTCAACTCCATTAAGTTCTTAAATTGATAGTACAACGACAGTAACAATTTAAGCACTTCGAGACTCTACCCACATGAAAGTTGCTATATTGAAAAAAAGCTTCCTCTTCACGCTACAACAACTTGTAGCACAAAGAGGAAGGGGTGGAATGCTCAGCTTTTAGATGTATTCTGTCCCAATTGCCTGGAATAGGGATTCCTAATTGTTACAGGATTATAAACCTCAAGCAGACGCAACTCAAGTGTGCTACACCTCAATACCCTTCCATCTTTTAACACTTGTTCCTCAACTTCATCAATGGAGAAGATGAAATTTTCGAAAATCTGGTTCTATTGGTCTTACAGGCAACACTATCATCAAGAGTGAAATAAGTAATGTTTGGTCAGCAATACGATAACTTTATATAGCGCCTTTCATATAGGTTAATGGTGTGCTTCACAGCAGTGGAGTTGAATGCTTAGCTAGGAGGAGGGGTGGAGAGAGTTGACCACAGACAGGCAGGGTCGAAGAAGTAGATTTAAGGTGGGATTTGAAGATGGAGAGAGGGCAAGGAGAAGGGATAGAGGTAGAGAGTTTCAAAGGCTGGGGTTGTAATGACTGAATGTTCGGCCACCAATGGTGATACGGATGGGGCGGTGGACATACAGCAGACTCGTGTTAGCTGATGAACCTTTGAGACTGACTTGTGGAGGCTATTGCTGAGAATCTAAAATACCTTTCCCCAGTCATACATTTTTTTTAAACCCAAGTGACCAGTACCATCAGTAGGTTTACAATTTTGTCAAAACGTAAGTTCCTAAATTATTAATCACCGGAAAAATCTGTTTGTTTCCTGCCCAAATCCATTCAATTACAAAAAGTTCACATTTAATGCATATAATTAATGAGGAGCCCAATCCATTTACACTAGGCCTGTGAGGCTGGCTGTCAATTATTAATGATGTCATTACCTTCCCCTGCTCTGTTACTTTGTACCTCACACAGACAAGCAAAGTAATGTCATTCTCAGATTTACAAGCAGCTTCATTACTCAACTATTGCAACTTTAAATGATTACTCCCAAAAGTAGTCCCAGTATTAAATGGAGCTACCTTAAAGGAGCAAAAGGTAGCATCTAATGAAAAACAGGTGATATTTTAGCTATAGGTATGGCTTTTAATCAGGCACGATGGAGAATCAAGCAAACCAGCCGACTTAGATCAAACTTGCGTGTAGTATTGGAAGGTAACATAAAAAGGTAACACAAACATACACTACAGGGAAAGATCAACCGCCTAATGCAATGCTTGACTATCTGGCATAAATCCATCACTAAAACTTAAGATGACCAGCCCCATTAAACTGAAGGACATATCCAAAACAGAGGGGGAGTCCATTAGCTTAGTGGTTAAAGCACTCACTCGCCTTGCAACCATGGGCAAGTTTCCTTATTCCACATGCCCCTGTTTACCTAGCAGGAAGAAGGATCCCGGTTGTTAGTGAATTGGGGGATCGCTTTCCTGGAGTTAATAATCCCCTAAAAAAAATATTTGGACATTCAGTGCATGACTATTTGTGGGACACTGCTGCACGCATTTGGCTGTCCCATTTACCCCACAAAATCTACAGTCTTTTCACTTTACAGTGTATTCTGTGAAGCTCTTTGAGACAGCTCAAGGACATGAAAGGCGCTATATCAAATGCAAGGATTATTATTATTATGATGTAAAGAGTTAAGACAATAAAAATAAAGCATCTTTTGGGGAAAATACTATAGCCATAAACATAATTTTGGCAGACGCCCATCAGATTGTAACAAATTAAAAAGTGCAGCAAACATGCCAAAAGCCATACTAGCTATCTAATGAGGAACACTGAAAAAAAATTCCTTGAATAGACTAATAGCCTCGTGGGAATGGTAAAACAGTACTGATCTGCATATTACAGTAATATCACAAACCACTAGAATGTGTCAATAAGGCAAACACACCTACAGAAATTAGCAATTATAAAACATTTTGACAGAGACAGAGACTTATTGGTATATTACTTTTGAAACAACAATATTTAAGAAATATGTCAAATTTAGTTACGGACTTCAGATTTAAGGAATTATGAAAACTTTTTAACTTTCATTTGGCTTGGTTCAATCAATGTCAGGACCTTATTATTTTCACTTTTGTGGAGTGAAATTATTAATCATACTTGCAGTTTTTCCTCACAGCTGATGTGAGCACGGTTATACTTAGAAGTTAATTGGTGCCCATATTTATAGGGATTCCACTCATTTTTGATGAACAAATTTATAAGAAAAATGAAACACAATATTAACCGTTAAAAAGTATTGAAAAGCTATATTTCTGCTCAACACAAAAGCAATATTTTTNGCTCAACACAAAATTCTATATGGATTACTAAAAATACAAAGAAACTGCATAGTGGTTCTATTGGAGATTCTCCGAGTGGAACTGAGTAACTGTTTTCAGACCTATTCTTTTTCCCTAAACCTGAAGCAAAAGTGAGCAGCAACTGGAGCCTAAGTATTTGGCAAACCTCAAAAG